TGGTAAGAGTGAATCATGATTCTGGCTGAGATGGGAACAGGTTGAAATCTTGGCAAAGAAAGACCTTCCGTTGGCAGAGGCAGGGAGGAGCTCTCTGGGGGCCATCCATCTCTCTGTCAGCTCTCAAGTTCCCCAGTGACAGGCACAGCTGAGGGATCCTGGTGTAAAACTGGCCATCAATATTTCAGGCAGCATTATTTATTGATCACTCATCTGGCCGGGACAAAAGGAGAGGTAATTCATTAGGGATGCAGGGCTGGTGGGGTCAGTTTGGGAAAGAGGTCAGGAAAGGTAGATCACTGAGGATCCTCAGCCCGGGCTCCTGCAAAAATACCTTGGGATTCAAAGATCTGGAGATTAAGGTCTTTGTCTTCTTTTTTAATCCATGACACTCCCGGCGAACATAAATGAAGGGGACCTGGCCAGCATGCTTAGTGGTTGAGCCTCGGCCTATGAACCAGGAGATCATGGTTCAATTCCTGGTCAGGGCACGTGCCCAGGTGTGGGCCTGATCCCCAGTGGGGCATGCAGGAGGCAGCTGATCTCTCTCATCATTGATGTTCTGTCTCTCTCTTCCTCTCTGAAATCAATTAAAAATTGATTTTTAAAAAAATATATTCTTATTGATTTTTTACAGAGACGAAGGGAGAGAAATAGAGTTAGAAACATCGATGAGAGAGAATCATCGATCAGCTGCCTCTTGCACACCCCCTACTGGGGATGTGCCCGCAATCAAGATACATGCCCTTGACCAGAATTGAACCTGGGACCTTTCAGTCTGCAGGCCGACGCTCTATCCATTGAGCCAAACTTGTTTCGGCTTAAAAATTGATTTAAAAAAAGAAAGAAAGAAAGAAAGAAAGAAAGAAAGAAAGAAAGAAAGAAAGAAAGAAAGAAAGAAAGAAAGAAAGAAAGGGACAGAGGAAGGGGAAACCTGCGGCAGGCCTGGGACTGCCACTGTGGCCATCAGGGAGATCATATCCGTGGAATCCTGCAGCTAGATGAGCTTCCTTTCCTCTGGGCCCAATCTGTCCCTCCCAGTTCCCTAACTTTCCCCACCTGACCCTGAAATCAGCTCCAGCAGCCTCTCGAGATGCCATTTCAGAAGCCCAGGTTGGGTCCCTTGTGCTGCAGGGCCCTTCCAGGGTCAGTCTTGCAATCTCCCTGCTCTCCGGAGGTGCCTGATTCTCACCCAAAGGGAATGCCTGCCTCTAGTCTGACCTCCTGTGGGGAGTAGGACCAGGTGTGCACACAGGCTGAGCTTGTGAAGCGATTGCTTGAGAATCCATGGCTGACCTGTCCACCGGCAAGATGCTTTATTCATGAACCTCCAGCTCCAGGGAGTGAGGCATGAGGCTCCCTGCTCACCTATTTTAAGCAGATGGGCTGCAGGGAAGATTGTTCCCAGCAGAGGCAAGGGAAACCCATATTGGGTGGGAGCTGCGCCACCTACTGGTATTTTTCCTTCTTGCAGGCATTCCTGCCAAGCATCACTGCCTCCAGCTTAGATCAAGGACAAACTCACAGGCAAAACCCAAACTGCTCTGACTCAAGGTTGCCCTCTTCCCCCAGGCAGGCCTGATGCAGAGAGGAAAGAACTGGGGAATTCAGGAGGAAGATGGTCATGTACTGGTTGAAACTTAAGGCAGCAGAGAAGCCAGCAGTGAATTTTGGCCTGGAAACTCTCTCCACGGTATCCTGGATGCCACAGTTATGGGCACCATGGCCCAGAGCCCCTGCCTCCTCTGCTTCCTCTGCCTTCCCTCTTTCATCCGGGCTGGGCAAGGCTGGGCTCAGCTCTGCTGATCAAGGAAAGCTGGCACAGCGAGGAGTGCTGGCTTTCCCTCTGACGTCACAGCCTGGAATCCCATTTTACAGCTTTTCCAGGTGGGGAGAGGGAGCCGGCTGAGGAAGCTTCAGGCCGGCGGCCATTCTAGCCAGAACCGAGGCCTGGAGGGCTGCCCCTGTCCCCAAGGTGGCGCGGCTGTGGGACACAGGGCCAGACCTCAGCATCCACATCAAAACGAAGGATCCTCTTGCCGAAACCGGTTTGGCTCAGTGGTAGAGTGTCGGCCTGCGGACTGAAGGGTCCCGGGTTCAATTCCGGTCAGGGGCATGGTTGCGGGCACATCCCCGGTGTGGGGTGTGCAGGAGGCAACTGGTCGATGTTTCTCTCATCGACGTTTTTAGCTCTCTAGCTCTCTCCCTTCCTCTCTGTAAGAAATCAATAAAATATATTAAAAGAAAAAACAAACAAACAAAAAAACAAAAACAAAGGATCCCTCAATGCCCACTGGGACCCAGGCAGTGACTGGGCACTTTCCACATAGCTCTAGTCATACACCTCGGGGTGACTTCTCTGACCCACTCTCCTGGCCTAGAGGGGCCAACTGGGGGACGGGGGGGGGGGGTGGCCCCAGGGCTCACCAGCCTCCTGCCGGGAGACTTCCCACTCGTTTTCTGTCACCCTCCATCTCTCTTCTCCTCCCCTGCACTACTTGTGCCAAGTTCTAGGAGAATGACTGTTTCCATGGCAACGGACCAATGAGCTTAGCAATCTGAGCGGGTTTCTGTTGACACAGGAAAACCCGGATGTGCACGGAGAGCCTGGCAATGCTGAGTCTGGCAGTGACCTCTTTAGTACCGGTCACTGTGGGTGCAGGTGTGTACCTGTGTGTGTGTGTAACTGTGTGTGTGTGTGTGTGTGTGTATAATGCAGCAAATAGGATTTAGGTTAGAGAGGGCCTACCCTGTTTTCCTGGCCTTGTGGTAGCTGCTAGCATGAGCCTTTAACATCTTACTCTCTGGAGATCTTTCTAGAACAAGGGAGTCTCTCCCCTGAATTCTGCCCTAACACTTCCTCTCCTGATATAGAAAGGGGCCCATTTGCTCAGAGGCCAGTGGTGAAAGGAATGACCTTGCGATGGCTTCTCACACCACACCTCCACCGCAGCCTGTCTGGCCCTCCCTGGCCAGCTTGGCTCAAGTGCGGCTGGAGGCCGCACCCGGTGGTGCCAGGGCGGGAGGAAAGCCTGGTGTAGGGGCACTTCGCCAATCGTGGAGCAGCCAGAGGCTGGGGCTAGGTCCCCACACGCCCCACCCAGACCATGCTCTGCTTCCTCCATTTCCCTTCCATGAGGCTGAGCCGTTCTCTGCTCCTCCCTCCCTCCCTCCCTCTCCATTCTTTTCCTTTATCTTCTGATGCTGCTTCTGCTCCTCCGCCATGTTTTCCATTCTCCCAAGTCCTGCCTTCCTGGGTCTCATCTCAGCCAGTTGTGTCCCTCGGCCCCTGGATCTTCTTCCCACGGGCTGGGACCCATGCCCTGCAGTCTCCCCCTGTCCTCCAACCCAGCCCAGCAGCTCAGGGCTCCCTCCCTCCCTGCCTTCTGGGCCACATGGGCTGCTTCTTTGGCTCCCGACCTTGGGTGCCTGTCTCCTTGTCTGTTCCAGGTCACACATGGGCCTTGGGACTGGTTCCTATCTCCACCTCTTTCTCCAACCCACCTGTCTCCTCCCTTCAGAGTCTCACAGCCCCTCCCAACGTTTTCCAGCCTTTGTGGGCCATCCAACCCTCCAGTCCTGCAGGGGAGGCCTTATCGGGGTTCACACCTGGCACTTTTCATGAGGTGCCAGAGGGTCCATTTGGGGAGGGGTCTCAGGGCAGAAGGCCCTAGAGGGTTGAGGCCCCTAACTCTTCTTAAATCCTGATGCCTCCTGGTCCCCTGACTCTATCTTGAACCCAAAACTATTTCCCCAGAACTCTCTCTCCCACTCCCTCCCACAGCCAGGTCCTGAGTCTCACTTCAGGCACCCCCACCCCCCTCATCCTGGGACTGGGTGGGGCGAGAACAAGCACAGAGGCTGACATGAACCAAGTGCCAGAGTTCGGTTTATTGGCTCGTCCAGTGCCAGAGGTCCAGCGAGCATCCACTCTCGTCTGAATTGGGAGACCCTTGGCTGCTGGATGCTCCTTCTCCACACGGTCCTCCTGGCTCCGCCGGAAACTGCGGAGGAGGCTGGGCGGGGTGTGAGGCACAGGCGGGGCTCGGACAGGGTCTGCTCACAGGGGGCCTAGTCTGCTGGGCACAGGAAGAGGAGCCTGGGAGGAAGGAGGACGGGCCTCTGGGTGTGGAGAAAAGGAGCTGGCTCCCCAGGGGCCTCCACTCTGGGCCCCCGATGCGTAGAGGAGCCCAGCCCCGGGGCAGGAAAGGGAAGAGGCAAAAAAAGAACTGAGGGCAGAGAAGGAGACGAGCCTCTCCTCAAAGCCCCATTACCTCACGGGCTGTCATCCTCTGAGGCTCAGAGACTAGGAAGGAGGCTGAGGGTGGGAGGAGGTCACTGCTGGAGGGACAGGCCTCTACCTCCAACACACATATACACACACACACACACACACACACACACACACACACACTCATTCCCACACTCCTGGAGCCCCACCTCTTTCTAGTGGGGATGTGTAGCTCACAGCTCATCCAGTGCCCCAGCTCCAGCTCCCGCCTGGCCGTCCTGGTCACTTAAGCACACGCTAAGGCCCTGTCCTCCCTTCAGGGCTATGGCCTGGAGCCCCTGCCCAGGTTCCCCGAAGCTCCCCCACCTTCTCCCTCCCCAGGTGCCTTCAGGCCCGGCTCTGATCCATCTGGGTATGACTGCCCCGGCCCAGGGAGAGCCATAGGCGCACGGTAGGACCTCAGAGAAGCTGGTGGCCGTGGCTTTAGCAAGGCACTGGGTGGGCACAGAGAGCGGGGACGGGGACAATGGCAGCTCAGGTTCTGAGGAGCCCCCACCTCCTTGGGTGGCTCAGGCCTCAGCTCCAGGCCCAGCCTCGACCTTCAAACCCCAACCCCCTCAACAGGACCTCCCTCCTCTTTTCCAAGCCCTTCCAGAAAAGGGGCCTCTGGGCAGGCACCAGAGACAGCCATCTGAGGGGCCCTGGGCCTGAGACACGGGGGCTACGGGCACAGTGTGGAGCCAGGCTCGCGGCCTGAGGGGTCAGGACCTCAAGCCGAGTCACCCCCGCCTGAGGCCTTCTTCTTGGGCCGGGCCTTCACCGTCCTGGAAGCCAGGGGCTGCGGGAAGGAGGGAGGGAGGGAGTCAGGGGATGCTCAGCCTGCAGACACAACCCCGCCCCCTCTCCCCAACTTCCTGGCTCTCACCTCGGTTTTGGGCACTTTTTTGACGGGTTTGAGCCTCTTAGGGGCCTTGTCTCCCACATCCTCCTCGGAGGTTTCTGTCCGGGAATCGGCCTGGTGCGTGCTAGGCCTTAAACTCGGGGCGGGGTCATCTCCTGGTTGTGGGAAGGAGAGCAGGGCAGGGGTCCGGGGGTCTCTCCCACCTGGCCGCCTCCTCGCCCCCGCGCCTGGCTGCCCAGCCTGTACCTGGGTCCTCAATGGTGTCCAGGAGGCCGCCGGGGCCGGGGCGGAGCTGGCCGTCGGGCCCGTGCAGGGGCAGGGAGTCCTCGTCCCGGATCAGGGTCAGGTCCTGCATGCTGAAGCTTCGCAGCTTCTCTGACAGCACCCCCTGGCCCTAGGGTCGCCCCCACGCACCGGGAGCACCGGAGGAGGGGGCGGGGTGGAGAGCGTGGTCACCGAGCGGCCCCGGGGGGCCCCTGGGCGCAGTGCCTTCCCCGCACGGTCCTCCTCCAGCCCTCAGGAGGCACCGGCAGGCTGGGGCCATCCTTCCCCTTCGCACAGATGAGGGAACTGTGGCTCGGGGAGTGGAGGTCCCTCAGCTGGCCTGTGGTGGAGCTAGGATTGGAACCCCGGCTGCACTAGCCCCAAACTCTCACAGCCCTGAGGACAGGGTGGAAGCAGGCAGGATCTAACCGAGGGGGGAGGATGAGGTGAACGGGTGGGGTCCCAGGAGCTGGGTCTGCCCTCGTCTCACCTTGGCAGCAGCTGTGACCGCAGCATTGGCGGCCAAGTTCAGGCCCCTCTTGCCCACCCTCATCATGGTCTCATAGCTCTTGTCTCGGGCCTGGCTGATGTACTCGTCGATCTCCTGAGAGGTCAGAGGGGGGGAGCAAGGAGGAGGTGAGGGCTGGCCCCCGTGGCCAGGCCCTGCCTGGGGCAGAAGGCTGGGCCCCTGCCAGGCCACCTCAGGCTCTGGGAGGGCCGGGCATGGACGTAGCTGCGGGCGCTGGGCTGCCTTGGCCTGGGGCGGGCGGGGGGAGGCAGAGTGGGAGCAAACCTTCTCCTTGTTGGACAGCGTCGGGTGCACGAACTTGCGATAGAGCACGCTGGAGCCCTTGGTGTAAGGGGACAGCAGCCATATCACAAAGGCGATCTTGAGCTCAAAGTAGAAGGGGAACCTGTTGTGGGGACAGAGGCAAACCCGGGGCAGGGCGTCAGGAGGCGCTGAGGGTCTGTATGACTCTGGCGAGCCTCCCACCACGTGTACTGGGGTCCCCAGGCGGTTCAGGAGACCGGCCACTTCAAATCTCTGGGAGTGACTGATTGGGAGGCTCAGCCAAGACCCCGGTGGGAAGGCGAGGAGTGAGCCCAGAAGGAGGCCCCTAGGCAGTAGCTCCCTTGCCCTCCTCTCTCTCGGGAGTCCCCAGCCTGAAAGACCCCTACTCCTCTGTTCTGGGGTGAACACCAGGGTGCTCCCTAACCTTCCAGGTCTACTGTGCCCTCACCCGTGTCTTCTCTGCCCTTTCCCCCATGAAGACAGGGGCTTCGCCCTAGCCAGTTTGGCTCAGTGGATAGAGCGTTGGCCTGTGAACTGGTCCCGGGTTCGATTCTGGTCAAGGGCACATGCCCAGGTTATGGGCTTGATCCCCAGTGGGGGGCATGTAGGGGGCAGCCTATTAATGATTCTAATCATTGATGTTTCTATCTCTCTTTCTTCCTCTCTGAAATCAATAATAATAAATATATAATATAAATATAGACTGGGGCTTCTCCAGCTGTGCTCTGGGCACTATCCCTTGCTGCCAAGACATGCCCCTTGCTTTTACGGACTATTCTCCTTCCCCATGGTTCCCTCTCTCAGATCACAAACTCCTTCAGGCATGTCTCCTACTCCCTCACAGAGCAGCCATCAAAGCTCTCTCCTTTGCCTGTGCTAGTCAAGAGGCATCTATGCTCACTGCCCTCAATTTTCAGCCCACTTTCCTCCCTGTGCTAAAATTATTTTTTCTCAAAGGCCATAGGCCCTGGTACAGCAGGTCTTGAAATAACTCCTTATTCAATGCCATTTTGTTATAATGTTGATGAGCCGCTGTAGGAACTTCATTCTTATTAATATATCAATTAGCCTGTGGTAAAATTGGTTTCATTATATGTCGCTTCGCTTCAAGTTGCAGAACCTGCTCTAGTCTGTTTGGCTCAGTGGATAGAGCATCGGCCTATGGACTGAAGGGTCCTGGGTTCGATTCCAGTTAAGGGCATATGCCCGAGTTGTAGGCTCCATCCCCAGTAGGGGGTGTGCAGGAGGCAGCCGATCAATGATTCTCTCTTATCATTGATGTTTCTATCTCTCTCTCTCTCTCTCTCCCTTCCTCTCTGAAATCAATAAAAATATATTTTTAAAAAGGTTGCAGAACCTGACAATCATGTTAAGGGAGGGATAACTGTAACTGATAAATGCAACGATCTTTTGTCCTCTCCCTCTCCCTAAAACTCCCTTCTCTTGACTTTTCGTGTACTGTGTGTGTGCTGTTAGTCTTCTCTTCCAAACGCATTTGCCCATTTAATGACCACTTTTGAGCTCCTGCTGTGAATATAGAGATGATGGAGACGTGCCCTCCCTGTCCTCATCGTGTTGATACATAGTCCAGTAGTGCCTGAAAAATGTCTTGGAAGTACAATCACCCAATGTGTAGAGGACTGAAACATTCACCAACGGAGAAGCAGAGGCTAGAGAGCTGTGACCTGCCAGACGTCACAGGAAGCCTGGCAGTAACAGCTTTCCTGAATCCCGTTGTGGTGCTTTGGCTGCCACAAAACAAAAAGAAATGTGAAGGGTATGTTTGTCCTTATTCTGCTGATCAAGACAGGCCTGGATGGGGTCGGGGGCGAGGCGAGGGGGACATCCAGAACCCCACAGAACTTGGCCTCATGGCCGGCTGGGCAGAGAGAGCCAGACGCCCTGGGCCCCAAGATGCAGGGAGGGGTCGCTGGACCTCACCAGGAGAGCACGATATCGGTGAGTGTCTCGGCCGTGGTGAAGAAGGCAAAGACGATCCAGTACATCATCCACTTCACCTGCGGGTACAGAGGGCAGCGTTGGCTGGGGCCTGAGGGGCCTCTGCCTGCCAACCACACTGGACGTTCTGTGGGGAAGGGAACACTCAGGACCTCAATTATGCTTGCGGGTCACACCTAGGCGGCGGGGGGGGGGAAGGAACACACAGGAATCTCCTTTGAACCAGGGTCTCACTAGTGCCGATAGCATTGGTACAGTCACCCCATTTATAACATGACCCACCGACCTCCCCTATCTCTGCCATGCAGGGTGGGCTGGAGGGAGTTGAAGGGCCACACACTCACGTATTCCTTCACGTTTTTTGTCTTCACGGCTTTGTAGGAAGAATAGGCTGGGTACAGGGTGCCGAAGACGAGCCTAGGGAGGCAGGCATGGTTACGGGGCCCCTCGGCCAAGAGCGGCGGCCGCTCCCTCCCAGCTCTGCACCAGCCCCTGGGTAGGTGATGGGAACTGGATGGATGAGCTCAAGACTCGGGTCACACTCAAGCATGGAAGTCCCAGCCAGCTAAGGCGCGGTCCCCGCCCCGCTCTATTGTTCATTTCTCTCCAGCCCCTGAGGTGTGGAAAGGCCCAGAAGCCAGAGGGTCCAATGTGGTCTCTTCAGCCAGGATCCTTTGCTTATGCACAAACCTATATGGGAGTGGGGGTCCAGCTACTGCCACCAGAGTGTTTTCCTTTTCCAAACACCATGTTCGTTCATACCCATCTGCCCTGTCTCAGAGCCATGCTGGGTATGGCAAGGTCGGCAAGGGTTCCTGATACTCTAACAGGGCACTCAACCTGGCAGTCGGTAGCACCACTGAGGCCCCGGGGAGCAGAGGGACGGGCAGGAAGCCCTGGGAGGGCAAAGAGGTTTATTCTTGGGGCCCCGTGGAGCGGACCTGGTGGTGATCCACACACGGGCCCCAGGGGAGGGGATCCGAGGGCTGTGCCTGCAGCCCCCGACAGGAGAGCAGCAGCCACCCTGAAGGCCACATGGAATGAGGCCCTGGACTCCTTCTGGGTGGGGTGGGAAAGAGAGGAAGGAAGGGGATTCCGGTCTGGAGGAAGCCAGGACACAAACACACGGCAGCACTGAATGGGAAGAAGGCAGCAGGGAAGGGACTCGGGCTGTCAGTCCCGTGGAAGCTGAGGGCCAGGGTCCTGAGGCTCCTGAGGCGCCCCTGCCGGCCCAGCCCTTTGACAACGTGGGGGTCCAGCCTGCTCCCACATGGACCCGCCTATGAGAGGCAGGGGACTCCAACCTGGCCTGTAGAGAGGGGGTGGGGTGCGATCCTCAAGGACAAAACCTGGGGCTGTGGGAGCAGGGTTTCTCCGGAGCCGGGATGTGGAACGAAGGCCACTAACGCCCCGTTCCATGGCCTTCACAATCCTAGGCTGAGCACATACGTCCTCTCTGGGTTACCCCCACATATTGTCCCCCACACCCAGATGGGACCCCCGGAGGGCCTTCAGAGAATGTGCCCTCACCCCCTCCCCTGACAGTCAGTGGGAGAGGAGGGGGAACCCAGCCCTTTGGGGAGGCCAAGGTTGCTGCCATGGCCCTAAAGTAAGCATAACGAGGCCCTGCCTTGCTCTTCACGCTTCCATTAGCTGCCCCCAGGGAGATGAGGGCCCAGATCTGAGCAGCTCCTCAGACATCTGTTAGGTGAGGGAAGGGACATGCCCGCCTCCCCCATAAATCAATCCATGCTGCTCAGCCTTAGGATGAGGGAGGGCGAGGGAGCAGGGAAATTCAAGATAAAAGGGGTAGAGGCCAGGCCTGCCAGGCTCCTCAGTATCTCCCTCCCCCCAGTCCTGGGTCCCACCCTCCATGTCTCTGGGACCACAAATAAGGACGAATGACTGGGCTGCGTGAAGCCCCGAGCGGTCCATCCCGGCTTCGATACCCCGCAGCCCCCACCCAGCACCAGCCCCAGCCCAGCCCAGCCCAGCCCCAGCCCCAGCCCAGCCCCAGCCCGGCCCCCTCCGCCCGCCGCCGCGGCACTCACACCACCAGGCGGGAGATGATCCAGGACACCATGGCGGGCGCGGGGCGCGGACCCCGCCAGGGCCGAGGATGCAGCTGCTGAGGTCGAACTGTGACAGCAGGAGCCGCAGCAGCAGCAGCCGCAGCAGGAGCCGCAGCAGCAGCAGCAGCAGCAGCAGCCGCGGCGGCCGCGGAGCACCAGCCCCTGCGTTAAAGGGGAGGTCCCTGCCGCAGCGGCGGGCCGTGGGCGGTGGCGGTTCTTAAAGGGGAGGCCGCGCGCCCCCCGCACCTGCTGTCCCGGGCATGCGCCCTTGACCTCAGAGCCCGGCTCTCCCCTCCGGCCTGGGTTCCAAGCCCCGGTGGAAGTCCTGGGAGGCCTCCGCGGCTCCATCCTGACAGCCCAGCCCGCCCCCTGCCCACCTGGTGCCGAAAGGCTTAACCATCCCACAGGATGCTTAAGAGGAAGAACAGCCATGGCTTCTGGGTGCTGATTGTGTGCCAGGCCCTGTGCCAAGAGCTTCTCACGCATTATTGCAGTGAATCCTCACGACCCCCCTCTAAGGCAGAGGTTATAATTATCCTCACTTCGAAGATAAAGAAATGGGAAGCTTGTGGAGGTTCAATAATTTGCCAAGTGTCACAAAACCACTAAGTCATGTGTTTAAGATACGAACCCAGGCAGTGTACTTTAAATAGGCTACTTTTCCCGATAATGACTTGCAAATCCTCCCCCTCCCCCTCCTCCATCAGAGGCCCAGGCCCCATAAAGACATCTACCCAAGAATTCTTGAAGTCAAGGTATAGCCGCACCTGACCATCCCACCAATCACCCCAGTTTGAAGAAAAACCCCCATCTGACCTGCATTTTTAGCATTGTCAGTGCCTCAGCTTTGCAGGGGAGCCCTGTGCTCTCAAGGTGAATACTCTGGGGGAGGGGAGTCAGACCTTCTTGGAAGGCCTGGGGTCTAGGTAGGAGGTGGATCAGGGAGTTCCACCCAGCTTCACTTCCATCAGCAAGCACTGGCAGCTGTGTATGCCCTAATTCTGAAGCCATTTATATCCAGAATGTAGGCTAGCCCTAGCCCGCCTCCTGATTTTCACCAAAGCAACAAAGCGCCAACCTCCACAACTCCCCTTCTCCCCGAAGCTTTCCTTTCCTGTCCCTTCCACATTCATCTGCCCTTGATGTGGAGGTGTAATCCTGGCGATCACAGCATCAACCCGTGCAGCCTCAAAGGATATGCTCGGCGCTCTGAATCTGTTATGGTCCTATTCAAACTCGTTATCTTTTGAACCACACGGCGATCTATTTCCACCCTGATAATTGTATTTCCAGGCTTAAACACTTTGGAAGTCATTTCCAACAGGCTTGAGAAGTGGCCTCTCATGACCCCTCTTGCTATTCTTTACAACTTCCTCTTGAAAAGGCCTTTTCTAATTAGAGTCCAGTCTGTCCTAACTCCTCAAGTCACTTTCATTGCTGTTTGATAAAAACAAATCCCTTTTGGGGTCTTCTCCTGCCAACTCTGAGATGGATCTAGAGCCATTTCCTAAGTGCGCAGGCCGGCTCTCTGCTTTGAAGACCGCCCCCCAGCCCCTCCCAGGCAAACTTCCCCAGGAAGGTAGGGCCCCATCTTCTCCACTCCATTCACTGTGAGTATAAATTACCCCTCCTCCTGCCCCTCTGATGTGGCTCCCTTCCCTTCATCCTCAAGCCCTCAAACCACAATGATCTGGCACTTCCCTCTCCCAATTTGGAACAAATTGAGAAGCAAAGGATAATTAGATGCAGCAATGTAATGAAGATCTGAAAACAAATCATCCTCTACTTCCAACCCCACCCTCCACCTGGCCTTGCTTTTTATTTCCTTTTTTATATTTTCACTGATTTCAGAGAAAGGGAGAGGGAGATAGTAACATCAATGATAAAATAATCACTGATCAGCTGCCACCTGCATGCCCCCTACTGGGGATTGAGCCTGAAAACACAGCATGTGCCCTGACTGGGAATTGAACCGTGACCTCCTGGTTCATAGGCTGATGCTCAACCATTGAGCTACAATAGCCAGGCTGGTCTTGTTCTTAGAATGGCTGGCACAAGAAGAATTTAGTCCACTCAAAACAGATTTGTTAGATTTTTAATAAGAACATGGAAATCCCAATCAGCCCTTCAACAAAATTAAAATACAGAAAGTGAAATTAAAGGTATTCTACAGTAAATGACTTTTATTAAAAAAACAAAAACAAAAACAAAACAAAAAACTGTGAACATATAAACAAGCCTTCAGGGGACTACAGTACAGCCAGAAAGAAGATACATTATCCAATGTACCCATGGGCCAATGAATTCCATTATTTTCAAATAAATTTTTAATAAAACTCCACTGAGTTGGAAAGTTTCGCTGAAAATATTTCTGGACAAAACCCCCCAAAAAACAAAAAGCCTCATGTAGGAAAATCACTTTCCCTCAAATTTGGAACTGTTACGAGGAGACCGTCCCAAGGGAACGCTGGTAACAGATGGAAATGATTCCTGGAGTCACCATGTGTGTATGTTTGGAGGACATCACAGCTCAGACAGGATAATGCTCTTTCTCAGATGACTGTTCCCTCAAGATAGGACTGAGATGGGAGGGGGAGAAACAAAAAGAATCCCCAAACGCCAATTCTTTTAAATTCTGCTTTGGCTGATTTTGTGCTATAATGGGCAGTTGATTTCTAAAAAATCATATTTCTTCAAAGTGTTTTATCGAAAGGAAGACTAAATGTAATGTGCCTTTCCTCACAATCCAGGAAAACAACTGTGGTATTTCAAAAGTTCTAAAAATATCTACTTTCATGAAATAGTGACTATTTCACTACAAACCTATTTTTCACTAAATACACACGTTCCTAATCCTGGAGCCTCCTGGGAAAAGCAGTGGGTCCTCCCTGGGTCCTGCAAGACCCCAGTGTTCACGGGAGAGATAGTGGGGAATGGCTTCACCCTGTCTCCTGGGATGGGCTGTGTCAGAGGTCACGTGCAGAGACACTGCCAGGCTTCCACCAGGCATGTTTAAGCAATGAGCCCCTACTTGTACCAGTTATGTGATTCCCCATACCTCCAAACATTCCCAATTAACTAGGCACGAGAGAAAAAAAAGAAAAAGAAAAAAAAGAAAGGTGTGCCCACATTCCTGGTTTCCACAAATCCCAGATCATAAGACTTCAGGAAAGCCCAGCGATGTTCAGGCCATTCAGTCCCAAAGACCACAGGATGGGAATGTGGCACCCTCGGCTTGGAGTCTGAAACTGTGTGAACTGTGCGGCTTTCCTGTGTCACAGCCTTCAGTGTTGAGGCAGCGTAGAAAAGAGTGGCTGGAGTTTGTAATACTGACCACACTGGCTCCAAGTGAAGCACCTCTGCTCCAGCAGAGAACCCTGCCGTTCCCTGTTTGTGTGAGTGAAAGACCTGCTTCACAGGGGAGTCTGCAATCTCTCCACTCCTACGACCGTGCCAGTTTGGATTCATGAGCCTTGAGGGTGCCAACAGCATCTTTCACTGCATGATAGATGATGTTCTTCACCTGGGGAGAGCAAACAGCAGTCAGAGCATGGCCGCCCCTGTTGTCTCTGCAAATGAAAACGTGTGTTCTAGGCTGCCTATATGCCTGCTGATTAGTGAGGAAGGCCCTCAACCAGGACTGTGTGCTTCCCATACCCATCCTAAAGCAGACCTACAAGTCACATAGGACATAAGGTCAATATTCAAAAAGGAATAATGAAATCATTTGAAAGGCTATCTAATCACCACCATCTATGTGCTTCTATGTGCTGTGCATGACTACTAAGTTCTTTATGTGGACTTTCATTTAATTCTTACCATAATCCCATGAGGTACATTTTATTATTATCTCTTACTTTACAGACGAGAAACTGAAGAAATCAAGGTTCCAGGATTAAGAACCTCGCCTAAGGTCCTGTAGTGAATAAGAATGCACTCAAACAAAGTGGGCAGGTAGGATTATTGGGTATTTTTCCTTATATGTATTTTCTAATTTGTCTAGAATGAGGTAAGAAGATAGAGTAAAAGTTACTGAAATAAAGTGAATAACTTAAAGATAGTTTTAAACTAAGATGGTGAGTATTCTTAGGAAGAAAAGCAGGGAGATGTGATGGAGACTTCAACAATGTTTTTGTTGTATATATGTATGCATATACGTGTTTTACTTCTTAAGCTATGTGATGGGCACATAAGCCCCCTTGTGCTACTCTCGACTAAATTTTTTGTATTAAGGCAACAAATATTTACTGAGTACCTACTCTACAACCAATATTGTGCTAGGGAAAAGCAGAGAATAAAATGGTAAAATCCTTGCCTTCATAGTTTAAATAGCTTATACTATAGTAGGGATAGAAACCAACAGATAAAATACAATGTTAGGTGGTAAAAAAAAATACCACAGAAAATATAAAGCAGAGGATGGGACGTAACCTGGTAGAAGTTGAAACCTAATGGAGGTGACATCTGAAAATATGTCTATAATGTCAATGAAATCTACTTATCAATGTGATTATACTCTGTGTAAGAATTTGATGGATTAAATGGTTTATAATTTTGAAAAAGGAACAGGTTGAAGGTGACTGAAAATACCAACAACCAAGAAAAATCTACAACTGCTCTGGCCACTGACCAAAGAAGACACCTGAGCCACAGGCTGACGGAGGCAACCCGGCCACTAAGTGAGAGGCTGGAGTGTGCACTCGGAATGTTGAAGTTCTGCTCAGCCAATCTTGCTTCTTTCTTCTTCTACGCCACTAAGCACCCGAATGTATTAACAATGAAATTCTGCCCTTAAAGTTCTAATCCACTTCAGGCGCAGAGGAAAACTGACTCTGATTGTCCAGCTTAGATCTACAGGGGAAAACCACCCCCACTCCGCTTAGGCATGGGCTGAGTCATTAGCAGAGTTCTAAGCGACTGAGTCTGCACAAAAATTTGCTCTGAGAAGCCACTCCAGAGAAATATCCCTTCTCAGAAAAACACTGTCACGATGCTTTTCTCACCTGACTGGGGAAGTCAGTCTAGTGGCAGTTAACACTGAAACATTCTGTATCCCAGGGCGGAGAAATATCGATAGAAGACTGTTACACTGTAAATTATTAGGTTAAAACATGAGTCTTCTCTAAACCAAATCTGAAGAGAACTGGTCAAATACTTCCTTGGGGAAGACTCCATACTCCTAGACGTAGCTCCCTTTATCATCTCTCCACAGTGTTACCTCCCAGAGCATACCCTCAGGAAACAGAATGTGCCTCCTGTGTGTGTGATCGAGCAGGAGATGAGAAGTGAAGGAGGAGCTGTGTACCTGCAGTTTATCCTCATGATTTGTATGAGTGTTAGAGAGATGCCTGAATTCCTGTGTCAGGCGGAAACAGTGCTTTACGTGTTCTGGAGATACAAAATCTTCTGCTACTTTTATGCAGCTGTATAGATTGTGCACCTGGGGGGAAAATATCAGGCATTAGAGATTTAGTAACACATGCAAAATTATATAGTTAAAAAAACTTTAGAAATATTTATAATAATTTCATTTTTATAAAGACAACACTTGTGGAAAAACTGTAAGTATAAATATAAAATATTAGTATATGCATAGAAAAGTATCTAGAAAAATATATACAAAACTATTAACAGTAGGCTACCTCGAAGGAAGGCAGGATGAGGGGATCAAAAAAGGGGTATGGGAGCGTCTACCTATGAACCAGGAGGTCACGGTTCAATTCCCAGTCAGGGAACATGCCCAGTGGGGCATGTAGGAGACAGCCAATCAATGATTCTTTCTCCATCATTGACCGTTTCTATCTCTTTCTCCCTCTCTGAAATTAAAAAAAAAAAAAAAAAAAAAAAAAAAAAAATATATATATATATATATATATATATAATTTTTTTTTTTTAAAGGGGGGGGAGAGTAATGGGAGTTGAGCTGAGACTTTCACCTTTTCTTTAATAGTTTCCATTGTTTGAAAAATTCTAAAAGAGCATTTAAAATCACATAGAAGAAAATTAAAAACCAAACATAAATTGTAGTTTAAGAGCAATCTGTCTAATCCAGCCATTTATATTTATTGCCAGATCAGCAAGAAAGAAATAAGGAAGCTCATGGGACTATGAGGCCCAGTTCCCGAAATGGAACCACCTGGTGTGGGGCTCCCGCAGGTATGAAGACGGCATCTCCCAGAAACTGAACGATGGCCCAGCCTTGCACACCATATTCTTCGTAGAGTCGCTTACGAAGGGTCTGGTCCAGGTACCAACTTTGGTCATGAATTGGGTCATGATCAGGGGGATTCTCTTGGCCTTGCTCTTCTCCAACCTGAAGCCATGACCAAAACACAAAGACGGAAAGATCAATAAATTACGAACAGCAGATATCCAACTTGTTGTAGCAGTGTCCCTCGTGGGCCAAAGCTTTCTTCTAAACAACATCCTCTCGGTGTAGATTCAGGCCCTTGGGGCATTTTGACAAGAGGCACAGGTCTGTAATGCCAGAAACCCCACATGGAACACCTTAGGCAGGCTGTCTGCATTCCCAGACCTGCAGTCTGTGAACTGGGTGCCCACCTCACCTTTCGGAGCAGCTCCCGGATCTTTTCTGCGTCCTTGGCTGCATAGATGTGCCACAAAGCACCGGGCTTCTCCTTTCCATCGTGAATCCTCTGCTTTGTCACCTCATCAGCATCTCCCTCGTCTATTGTCTTGAGTACTTCTGAAAAGAGCAAAATGCCACTTTTCAATATAACAGTCATTTTAATACTTCTGAGTGAAGCAAAATGTCTAATTCAAACCAATTTAGTCTCTACTATTCTTATGTCTCTGGAATAATACAAGATAGAATCAAAAGTCATATAGGTCTAAGCTTCCGAAACACAGGAAGAGCAATCTTAATCTTTCTTATTTCACAGACACTGGGCATTTTTTTGGAGGCATAGCTTTCATTTACAACGTATTTCTTTAAAAAACTATATTTTTATTGTTTTTAGAGAGGAAAGGAGGGGGCGAGAGAGATAGAAACATCAATGATAAGGGAGAATCATCAATTGGCTGCCTCCTGCATGCTCCCTACTGGGGATTAAGCTAACAACCTGGGCATGTGCCCTTGACTGTAATCGAACCTGGGCTGCAGGCCTACACTCTATTCACTGAGCCCTTTAAAACATACCTCTTGTTCAAACTGTGTAATCATATCTTATGTTCAAACTGCAGGTTAGCTCCTGCTGCGAGTAGATGAACTCTATACTTTCTCAAGACCTCTTCTAAATGCTATGGATACTATGGGTTTAAAGTCATGAAGTATAAAGCTTCTCTGGCAAGTTACAGGGGCTGGCTTCTAATGCTTATATATTACAACCTCTCAAAGGACAACGCAGTGGAAGGATCTGTAGATGTGCAGTATCAAAAGCAAATGTATGGCAGGACATATACCAAAGTAATAATACTGATTATCTATGAACCTTGAGATTTTGAGTTACTTATTTTCTTCTTTAAAATTGCCTGTTTTCTAAAACTTCCATAATTAACACATATTAATCTTATACTGAGATAGCAGGGAGTATAGATGCAGCAAAATACACTTTCATGCTTCATTTCTGTGCAAGTGACCTATCTTTATCATCTGTCATCCACAGCTGCTCTGGCTGATGACCAAGTAGGCTGGTTTGCCATTCCTTCTTCACTCCTCTTTGTGGTGCTACACATTCTCCCAGAATGACTGGTCAGATACACAAGTAGCCTCTTCTCTGCTAAAACCTCCCTTTGTCTAAAAACATACGCAGGGCACCATATTAGGCCTGGAAGAAATTTAAGAAAAAGCCACTGCCTGATTGGCGTGGCTCAGTGGTTGAGCGTCGACCTATGAACCAGGAGGAGATGGTTTGATTCCCAGTCAGGGTACATGGCTGGGTGGCAGGCTCAATCCCGTGTGGGGTGCGCAGGAGGCAACCGATCAATTATTCTCTCTCATCACTGATGTTTCTATTTCTCTCTCCCTTCCTCTCTGAAATCAATAAAAATATATTAAAATAAATAAATAAAAGGAAAAGCCACTGGCCCTGATTGAGGGGAAGACACCCAATTCTATTCCCAAGGCCATGCCTCAAACAGTGGATTCTAGAAATCGTACCTTCATCATGAGCACCCTCCCCGATGGGGATCCCAACATACACCATCACGTTAACTGCATCAGACACATCCAAGTGAAGGTTTGTTGTGCCGACTCTTCTATCTTCCGCTGTTATCAAGCCTGAAGGCAAAAGATATGCAAGGTGAAAGAGAATACTTTGAAGAATCCATATAGACCCTGCAAGTGAAAACATACCTGTCCTCAAAGATACTTTTAATTGAATAACATTGGAAGAATGTCTTGTTTATGACTTTCATCTCTTTTCTAGCATTTTAGGACTGATTTCTAGCTTGGTTGATACTACTGTTTTACTAGCATCGATTGGCGGCTTCCTGCATGCCCCCACTGGGGTATCCAGCCCATAACTTGGGCATGTGCCCTCATCAGGAGTTGAACTGACAACCTTTCTGTGGACAGGATGATGCCCCACCAACTGAGCCACTCCAGTCAGGGCAAAAATGATTTCTTCTTCAAAAGCAAAACAGATATGGGCATTAGGACATATACCAAATATAGCGTGGCCCTAGCTAGTTTGGCTCAGTGGATAGAGTGTCGGCCTGCGGAACAAAGGGCCCCAGGTTCAATTGTGATCCAAGAAACATACATTGGTTACAGGCTCCTCCCCGGCCCAGAGCCCTGGTCGGGGCTCATGCAGGAGGCAACCAATTGATGTGTTTCTCTCATATCGATATTTCTCTCTGTCTTTTCCTCTCTCTAAAAATCAATAGAAAAATATCCTCGGGTGAAGATTAAAAAAAATTAATAAAATAAACAAATACAGCTTGGTTTTCACAGTGATTTAGGACATTATTGAAACTTCATAAAGAGCTGGTTGGGTAGCATAGTACTCAGCTTCTTCACTGTTACTTTATCAGTCTCTTAAAAACCAAGAATCATGTTTTCTTGTATAGAATTTTTGAGAGGATACTGTCTAACTACCACAGATATACAAACTGACTGGACCCATATGGATATTATGCAAACTAGTATGATGAAAGCAAACATATTTAAGACCATCCTGGATACTATTAACTTCTCTAGCACCTGACACTGCCCTCTATCATCTCTCTACTCCCTTTATAGGTGAAATGGGAACAATAATGTCCAAAAAGAGCAATATGGCCTCACTTTCATACCATAGGCATTGTACATCTTGGGGCCGAGATCAGGCCTTACGAAGTAGCTGGGTAGCCTAGAGGCCAGATTGAGTCTGCCATCTCGTTTGGTATATTCTGGTAGAGGAAGGTTCTCCATCAGATCTTCAAACCTACAAAAAAAAGCAGGAAAGATAACTTAATTTGATAACTGGGGGGAAAAGGCAAAGAGGCAAAGTTCATTTTTCTGTGATGACTTTATGACGGCTTCAGCAAGGAAAAGTCTCTCAAGATGACCCACTGTAATTCACTAACCTTGTTGGCATCATGTCCCGAAAATCTTCCCCTGGAGGCCAGTCCTTGAGTTTGAGCACCATTGGCTGTCCATCTTCTGACCTTAATCGTTCTGGAAGACAGAAACACTTTTGCAAACATCTGCTGGGTTGGCTGTTGTATCGTTTTCCAGGGACTACAAAATTTAGGAGACTAAGAGAAGACTAAGCTCTTATTTTCAGACTTGTAAACTCCCATAATGGACTAGATGGGCTGTTTTTCTCACCCACTGCTTTAGTACACCTATAATTTTCCACCTCAGAGGAAAGGCAAAGTTCATTTTTCTGTGATGAATTCTATCCCCCCCCTTCCTTAGGGTGAAAGTGTGCTTCACACACTCTGTGGATCACATGCTTAAGCTCAGATGAGCTCTGGGAGATATGCAATTGCCAAGCTAGCTACCTGGTTAGCAACAGGCAAAAATGTTCCTCCCACCAAGAGGCTATATGTTGCTATTCTGTGGGCATAACTGAACACAAAGATGCTTACTTCCCAGTCTGCCATTACTGAGCTAGATATAAGAGCTACTTACTGCATATGATCTCAAAGCCATCCCAGAAATCCCGAACTTTCACATCAGAAATTATAGCACAGTTCCTGCAGTTCACCAAGTCCACATCCTGGTCTCCAAATTCTTGGCTAAAGGCTTCTGGCTTCCAGAGTTCAGACTTGAGCTTTTTATGTACCCCTGATACCAGCACTGGCTGTGGGAAGAAAAATATCCCACTTAGGAAATACTCTGAGCTCAGGGCTAAGGGAGATAAAGAAGGGTTTCCTGAGGGCCAACTTTCCTTGTTCATGATGATTTACTGTTCCTTCCCAGTTTCAGAATCTCTGATTTCAACCTGTCACCTACAGCAAATAAAAACCATTCCTACTCCATTATACTTCACTCTCCTGGGAATGTGCCATGGAAATCACGTCTGTTGCCCTGGTATCTATCACTATTTTTAGGTGAGAGGAAAAAATGTGACAAATGCAGCTTTTAGAATACTTCCTTCACAGTGGGAATGAAAAAAAAAAAAAAAAAAAAAATCCAGACAATTCCATAACCTTTCCCTTCCTCAAGCACCTTTTAAAGTATAAAAATTAGGCAGCATTACAGAAAGGAAGGAAGGAAGGAAGGAAGGAAGGAAGGAAGGAAGGAAGGAAGGAAGGAAGGAAGGAAGGAAGGAAGGAAAGAAAAAAAGAAAGGAAGGAAGGAAGAGGCTAATATAATAAAAGGCTAATATGCATATTGTCCCCTTGGGAGTTTGACCCACAGGGAATTTGACCACTCGCTATGACGTGTGCTGACTACCAGGGGCAGAATGAAGGAAGGCCCTGATCAGCCCTGATCACCGGCCAGGCCTAATGCACAAATTTTGTGCACTGGGCCTCTAGTAAATAAATAAAGAAAAAAAACTAGACAGTGTTATCACACTATCACAAAAACTTGTATGTCCTTAAAATATTTACCTAGAAAAAGTACCACCCACTTCCACCCACCTTGGTCTCACCACACATCACACTTAAAGGATTTTCCCCTAAAGGTGTCATTAATGCTAGCTAACCACCTAACAGGAATTTCAACAGCCCTATTAAGAACAGAGGTCCACAGCTTAGAAATAAAAGAATCCATAATGTGTTCTCAGGAATCTCTGATTTTTAAAAATCCAAGAAAACTCGAAGTGGCAAGACTGTCTATGATGAACTTACGTGTGTCTCTCAGAGAGACTTGCAGCTCTCTGGAGGCTGCGGCAGATAGGCAGCTCAGGGAACTGCTTATTCTCGCTTACCTGGCCTTGCTTCCAGCACTCTCGGAAGATCTTCCAATTGTTTTTGTTGCTGGGGTCATGGAGACAGAGAAGCCTCCCATCACAGAGCCAGGAGTGAGAGGTGTGGGGGTCCAGCACATTTAACCCCATCACCATCTCCTTCACCTCCTTTTGGGTATCAGTCACGTTGCAGGCCCGCTTTGCAGCATCTGAGGTTTTCTTATTTTCTACCACTGAGGCAATAATGTGGTCAAGGAAGTTGGGTAGACTGGCCTTGTTCTTCACTCCCTGCCAGACACAAATCCACAGGTAAGTTTGACGGAGGCAGCATGAAAAGAGCATTCACAAATTTGTCTAATAGTTGTATTCATAAGAAGGAGTTCTGCTTACTTGATTAGATTTCATAAGTTTAAATGTCTTTTATAATTGGAGGAAGGAACCTATTAAGTCAGTATCTTAAATTTCCCTATTCTTTATATTTGCTTCACGTTAATGAAAGGAAAGTACAGAAAGATCCCCTGTGCCTCAAGAGATTTGATACCCAATAAATATCTTTGCATTCAGCCCTTAATTTGTATTAAGCATATGCATGTAGACCAGAGGAATCACTAAATACTGTAAATGAGTGAAAAATATAATTTACTTTGTGGGTTATAAAATTTGTGATTATAATGCCCAAGGGATACATAAAATAATTGGGCTTTAGTAAACTAAATAATCCTATGCCTGCTATGCCTAAAGTGTTACCAATCATTGTCTCTATTGAGTACATGTAATCATAAAACATCCTGAGAAAGTTTAAAAATAAAAATAAAAACTGGAAGGGGAAGCTAAGAGCAAGTATAAAAAAAAAAAAAATAGCGGCAAAATAATTTCTTTAAAAGTCATTTATCCAAGAGACAAATAGCTCACACTGTACAAGGTTCGACCAACTACAGTTCATCAAATTTCAGCTATTAATCATAAAATAGAATGAGAAACATGTTTATGTACTACTATAAAATGATCTTCAAGATATATAAACTGGAAACAGAAAAACACTATGTAGAACATTTGTGTAAAAAGAGGGGACAAAGCTATGTACATATGATAACATCCCTGAAAGGACACTCATGAAACAATAGTGGCCTCTAGAAAGGAAACATGTGGCTGGGAGACACCAGGAAGACTTTTCACTGTATCTTTAAAGTTGTGTGCCTTGTGAATTCACTTTTCAGCAAATGCTTACTAAGCACCAGTATGTGTCAAACACTGTGGCACTGGGGATATAGTGATGAATAAAACAATAAAAAATGCCTTTAAGAAGAGGAGATCAGACAATAAATAAAACACACATTAAGTCAGGTGGTAGTTTAGTGAAATGGTAAAAATAGTAAGTGTAGAAAAAACAGATATGAGTGTGGGATGGACTTTTTAAAAGGTAGTCTAGGAAGTCTTACTGAGAAGGTGACATTTTGGGAGGGAGGAGAGGAAGTTGAGGAAGCAAGCCATGTGGTTACCCGAGAAAGCAAGCTCTAGTGGAGAAAAGGACAAGTGCAAGGGCTCTGAAGAGGTGCATGTTCAAGGAATAGCAAGAAGTTGTGCGAGGCCGGAAGAGGGTGAACAAGAGGGAGAGTGGTAGCTGAAGTCCCAAAAATGAGAAGACATATAGCTGGGGTGGAGCCTTAAAGTCCACTAGAAGGATTCTGCTTATGAGAGAAACAGGAAGTCTATAAGGATTTTAGGCAGAGGTGACACATTTGACCTATAATTAATTAATTAATTAATTAAAACATTTTTATTATTTTCAGAGAGGAAGGGAGAGGGAGAGAAACATCATTGATGAGAGAGAATCATTGATTAGCTGCCTCCCGCACAGCCCTTACTGGGGATCGAGCCTGCAATCTGAGCATGTGCCCTTGACCAGAATTGTCTGCAGGTTGACACTCTATCCACTGAGCCAAACCAGCTAGGGTTTGACCTGTATTTTATTTTATTTATTTATTTATTTATTTTAAAATATATTTTATTGATTCTTCACAGAGAAGAAGGGAGAGAGATAGTTAGAAACATCGATGAGAGAGTGTCATCGATCAGCCGCCTCCTGCACCCCCCCCAATGGGGATGTGCCCGCAACCAAGGTACATGCCCTTGACCGGAATTGAACCCTGGACCCTTCAGTCCGTATGCTAACGCCCTATCCAATGAGCCAAACTGGTTTTGGCTTGACCTGTATTTTAAAAGGATTACCTAGCTGCTGTGTAAAATAGACTGCAGAGTGAAAAGAGAAGCAATAAAGAGGGCCTGAGTAAGGAATTTATTGCAAAAATGCACACAAGAGAATGTTGGCTCAGACCAGAGCGAAAGCAACTGACCTAATGAGAAATGAGTGGATTCTATACATTTTGAAGATCAAATTGAAAGGATTTGCTGACAGATTAGATATGAAATATGAGAGGAGTCCCAAATGATCGCAAGATTGGAGAATGGAGATTCAACTGGCCAAGAGAGAAAAACTGAAGGAGAAGCAAGCAGGCTTACAGGTAGATCAGGAGTGTGGTCTTAAGAAGTGTTAGGTTTGGGGCATCTGTTAGATATCCAAGAGAATACAATACCAATATACTCTCTACGTAAAAAAATAAAAATGAATGCCTGTCAAGCAAACAAAGTAGTTTCTACTGATGATAGATAATTTCAATGTCTCATGTCCACTGACTTCCTAACATGGTACAAAAGGTTCACTACTTAAAAGGACCCCAAACTTTATGTGAAGAAGGATTGTTGGCTGGACAATGTAGCCAACACAAGTCACCCACCGACCCTCGAACCCAGCTATCAGATTTCTGATGGTTCTTGCATGGAAAAGCAGCAACGGCGCGAGTTGTAGAGAGGACACTTACTGCTGAGGATGTAGAGAAGACCGGGGGGAAGGGTATGCCTGTGTCCAAGGGGGTTTGAGGAAGCTTTCCGGGACCGGAGTGAAGGAGGTCTCGAAGGCTAGAGCCTTCGGTTTTGTTGTTGGAGGCAGTGGGTCCCAGTAACAGACTGTTAAAAAGCTTTGGAGTCTTTGCAGTGGAGTTGAATGAGTCCAGCCCAAAGGGTGAATGAGACTCTTTACTGAGCACCGACCTCAGGGACCCTGCTTCTGTAAGAACATAACCGGGAACAGCATTAGCACAAGGAACACCAGCAGGCAAATGACTCCTAAAAATCAGCCAAGGGGGAGGAGGAAAGACTTCCCTCTCCTCTCCCCTGCCCCCCACACTATGCATGGTTTGTCTGGGCCAAGCCTGATGAGCTAGAACTATGGTAAGTTTCATGCCAAAGCGAAGCTCTCCTTCTTCTCCCGATCTGGATTTCACACTTCTTTTGTTCCCATCCATCTTTCATTTCCCTCACTTTCTAAGACAGTGTTTCTTCCAGTGGGTCTCCAGATCACCTGAAGTGGAGAATCACCTGGAGTGCTTGTTAAAAATGGAGATTCTTGGTCTTGTCCTCATTTAATAGTTCTGGTGGGGCACATGGAATCTGCATTTTTAATGATTCCCCAGTGAAAACTGTTTCCCCTGGCTGCATAACAGGGCCATTTGGGAAGCTTATAAAAAATCTTGCATCAATTTTGTCTAAAAGAGGTCTGGGGTAGAGACCAGGCATGTGCCTTTTTTAAAAAGCTCCACTTCTAGAAAAAGTCACATGAGATCCCCTTGTTTTATGTGATCAGCCAGAGCAAGCAAATGGTATGTTTCATAAGTGTTGATGGTAATGTGTGAGTTTGAAGAATCCAAGAAAAACTCAGGTGATCCACCCCCATGCAGGGCAGAGGCTTCTGTTCATCTCACCTTTTGTTTCTTCTTTAGCTTTCTGAGTTGCCAAATCCGCCAACCAGTGCAGGGCAGAGGAGGGTGGGGCTGTGTCAGGACAAAGGGGCCTGATGGCTTTTAGCTCACTACTGCTGTTTGATGCCAAACTGTCCGCTTTTGGAGGCTCATCAGCTCTGATGTCAATGCTGTCAGCTTTGGGATCGGTCTCTGGAGTTGTTACCGCTGCAGTTCCTCCTCCCCCTGAGAAGGTGGTTTCACTTCCAGAAGAGGCACTAGGGTTTATGGTAGGAAGCTAAAACACAGAAGGCCAACATCGTTAAGAGTGCTGTCCTGTGGAGCAAAAATAATGGCTACATAGGTCTAGTTAGAGGACTCTAAGTCAGGGAAAACAATCTGAAACTATCCCGTAAACTGTTCATTCATTCAGTCAATATATATTTATTGAGTCATATGATGCGACAGAAACTAGCGAGGTTCTGTGGAAAGAGCAGTGAAAAAGGCTTGAAAATAAAACATGGTTTTGTTTAGCATGTCTAAGGCTCAAATTGGGCAATGGCAAATTGGTGATCAGAATCTGACCCCATAGAGCTGTTTTAAAGTTAAATGAGATAATATATGCAAGGAGCTTAGCTTATTTTCTGGCATACATAACTCAATAAATGTTTATTATTCTATTCTTGAAACTTCCATATGATTTGCTTTAATATGGCAACTCTACTGAAAATATATCTTGAGGTCCCTCAGCATTAATCTCAGTGCCTTTTATTGACCAGATATTAATAGCAGCATTCCTTGAAGGGCCTCCAAATGTAATCAGTTAGTTTAAACACACACACACACACACACACACACACACATACACCACACCCCAGCCTCTTGTTCAAAAGTCACAAATAGGAATGACCTCTACCTCTGACACAGCAATGAGAAAATCAGACTCTCTTTGGAGGCTGGGATTGCTTTCAGGGTAGAATGATCCCAGGTCAGCAGGCCAATGTTCATATCTCTGTCCTTTATATCTAACATGACAAGGACAGGATCCATGCACAGAGAGGACTGTATTCCCAGTAATCTTTTCTACACTCTTCACCTACACTGGACTCTGAGGTATAAATCTTGACAAGACACAAAGAATCTCTGTATTATTTATCAACTAAAATGTGAATTGGCTTTAAAGATAAATCAAGAGAAACTTGTACCAGTCAGAGGGAATTAAAATCCCTTGAATAACATATTAAAGTTTCACTCACAAACCCCACTTTACCTGTGATATCCCATTGGTGACAGCAGGTCTCAACACAGATTTGTTTTGCCGACTAATACAAGGGCAGTTTGCTTTAATTCCCCATTTGCCCCGGGCAGCATGTACCATATCTCCAATATTATAAAGAGCTGGAAAAGAGACACAGTAATAATAACAATAACATTAGAATTCCCGTATGTTCAGGTGTTGTGCTAAAGACCTTACTTAAAGTCCCCCCCAAAAAACACAAACAAAAACACTAGAAAAAGTGGGGAGAAAAAGAAGGCCAATGTGAAATTGACACAAACCTTTAACTAATGCTTAGACCAGAAGGGAGCAGCACCCTACCACTGCACTCAGGGAGCCCTCTGCTTGGAAGCACTGGGGTATAAGGGTGCAGGTGTGCTCCCCGAGCCCCAGGCTTTCTTTTGTGAAGAAAAATATAAGCAGGAGTTTTGCAGGCTCACCACCGTTAATGCATATGTGTTAGTGGAAGTGTGCAAGCTGGAAACAAACCGTCAAGAGGAATCAATGAAGTAAACTGGGACTTGGATACAAACATGACCAGTTACTCCTGCTGTTAAATTGCCTTCTTCAGTTTGACTAACTTCATGTCTGATTAACTTCAGCTGGATTTTTAAAAACCTAAAACCAAAGGTCTGACAGCGTGGGACTGGATTTTTCTGTTTTGGCCCTGCCAACCATAAAAATGTAAAATGATATGTGGAAAAGTAATCAACCTCCCCAACCAGAAAGGTGAAGCAAAATGTGTGCAGTGGCTGCATACAAGCTAACACCTCTCTAAATATTTAAATCCTTGGAGAAATCTGGTGAGGCTTAAAAAATATATAAGGCTGGTATCAACTATTTCACCAACTTTTTGATGTGTAAATTCTATCTTTAAACTCTTCCCCTTCCCTGCTTCCACATACCAAGTCTAAAACAGGAATTTCCTTACCTGTGCCAGGGATAATCTGTGTGGGCATTAGATTCTCTGGCTCATGGGACTGCCCCTTTGCACATTTCAACCAGGAGAAAACCTCTTCATCACCCATCTCTTCTGTTTCTGAAATAAGTAAAATGCCTTCACTTAGGTCACAGGACATAGCACGTTTCCATCTCCCTTCCTAAAGTTCCCTCGGAGCCCTTTGCAGTTAATGCCCCTTTCTCAACCCTTGGCCACCAATGATCAACTCTAGAAAAAAGTTTTGCTTTTTTCTAGAATTTCATATAACTGGAAGTATACAGTATATAGTCATTTGCATTGGGTTTCTTTTATTTAGCATTATGATCTTGAAATTCATCCATATTGTTGCATGTATCAGTAATTCATTCCTTTTTATGGCTGAGTGGAATTCTAGGATATGAATGTACCCTATTTTGTTTACCCATTCATTGGCTGGTGGACATTTAACTTGTTTCCAAATTTTGGCTATTATGAATAAAGCTACCATAAATATTCAGGTACAAGGACATGTTTTAATTTCTTTTATAAATACCTAGAAGTAGGATGCTATGTCTTCATCTGGCTTTGATATGAGTGTAATGCTGCCTTCATAAATGAGTTCCTAAGCATTTCCTCCTATTTTCTCAGTTTGTGTAGAATTGGTATTATTTCCTCCTTAAATGTTTGATACAACTTTGGGCCTAAAGTTTTCTTTGTTGGAAGATTTTCTAAACTACAAATTCAATTTCTTAATATAAGGTTATATAGGTTATATTTCTTCTTGAGGAATTTGACAGTGTCTTTCATGAAATTTATCCATTATATCTAAGTTGTCAAATGTTTCAGTATAATGATCTGTAGTAATGACCTATCATTCCTACTATTGGTAAAGTGCATCTTCTCATCCTTTTTTTTGAAACTAATTTTCTCAAGCAGAAGTTTAGCTGTTTGAAATACTGCTTCTTTTCTAATATAGGTGTTTAGTGCTTTAAATTCCCCTATAAGTGCTGCTTTAATTGTATTCCACAAATGTTAATCCACTGTGTTTGAACCTTATTTAATACTTCTCTCACAATGATGTTTCTCTCTCTCTCAAATCAATAAAAAAATATTTAAAAACAAACAAAAAACCCCAAAAAATATGTTGTTCACTTTATAAATATTAGATTTTTTTCCAGATAAGTTTCTATTTCTAATTTATTCTTTTGTGGTAAAAAAAAACATACTCTATATGAATCACCTTAATTTATTAAGATTTAGTTTATAACCCAAAATATAGTACTTATAGTCTATTTAAAAATATATATATAGCCGAAACTGGTTTGGCTTGGTGGACAGAGTGTCGGTCTGTGGACTGAAGGGTCCCAGGTTCGATTCCAGTCAAGGGCATGTACATTGGTTGCGGGCATGTCCCCGGTAGGAAGTGTGCAGGAGGCAGCTGGTCGATGTTTCTCTCTCATCGATGTTTCTAGCTCTCTATCTCTCTCTCTTCTTCTCTGTAAAAAATCAATAAAATATTTTTTAAAAACTTAAAATAAATTTTAAAAATGTATATATTTTAGCCTGGCATGGTTCAATAATTGAGCATCGACCTATGTATGAATTAGAAGGTCACAGTTCGATTCCTATTCAGGACACATGCCCAGGTTGTGGGCTCAATCCCTAGGGGTGGGGTAGAACATGTGTATGTATGCATGTGTTGTATGCGCTTGTGCATGTGTACAAGAGGCAGCTGATTAATGAGTCTCTCTATCTCTCTCTCCCACTTCCTTCCTCTCTAAAATCAATAAAAATATACATATAAGAAAATCTATAATAATAAAATAGTAATATGCTAATCAGACCGGACATCCTTCCGGACAAAGCCACAGCTGCAGCGGGTGGGGCCAAGGTAGAGGTCGCTGCCACAGTGATGGTGGGGGAGGGGCGCCAAGGCCCTTGCACGAATTTCGTGCATTGATCTCTAGTAAATAAATAAAAAGGGCACATAAAACCATCCCTGCTTCAATTTCAAAGCGCCAGTTTACCTGTCGAACTACAAGGGACAGTATTTGCTTACCACTGCGTGGACGGCTTTTCCTGAGCCTGTAACAGTCAAGGCAGACCCCAAATCCACATTTGCGACAAACCCAGTGAATGTTGAAGAGAGTTGTTTCACATACATCACACATTTCCCGTACACCACGCACTGCACGCTTCCATGCCACTTTCTCTGGTGGGAGGAGGAAGAGAAATATTGTTGGCATTAGATATACTAAACTATAGCAAAAGACCCTAGATACTCTGATTCCTACTCAAGTCATTTTGTCCAGTAATAAAGCTCAAAGATTTATGAAATGTATCTTTCTATAATTGTAAGAGAAACAAAACACATGGAATTTCTAATATTTCTGACAAGTGTCAACGGAGAATAAATGTTACATGATGTTACTTAAGATACTGTAAAATTGTCAATTTGAGGTAGTTTGAAATAAGAGGATTCTTCTCTTGAAATGTAGGGAATAATTTCATAGTACAATTTACTTTGGCCTAGAAATAGGATCCAGTATCTCACAGGCAAGGGAATATCATATATGGTTGAATAATGTGGGTTCCAGTGTAACATAGCATTCCTTAGCACTTCATCTATTCACATACAATAGAATATCATTTACTAATACAAGTGGGTTCACAGCAAGCTGAAAATATTCAGTGAACCAAACCCAAGTAGAGATCAAAATACTTATTATGGAAGCTCTGAGACAAAAATGAAAAAGGCAAGTTTTTGGTCTGTCAACTTTCAAAGATTAAAAGAATGAGGTCTGCTGGATATTGTTAGGGCCTCAAGTTATATAGTTTGCTACAGCAAAAGTCTTATCAGTCTTAATTCATCTATAGAGCATGCCATCTGCTACTCCTTCCACTCCTTCCCTGAAGCAAAATATAATGAGAGTTTCAGTGAGGAAGATGGTGCCTTACGGTGTGGCTCTACCATCATCATGGCCTCCTTCTCAGACATCACAAGCTGACAGAACTGGTCCCCAACATTGGCCAAGATGTATTTTGAGGTTTCTAGGTCTATCCCTTCTGCTAGGGAGGAAGAGGGAATCCACAGGTTCATGGCGTCAGGGTCACTTTGCTGGGGACTCAGAAACCCCTCCACACGGAGTACCCCCTTTCGAGTGAAGATCAGCCTGAGACAAAAAGGTAGACAGTCAAATACATAGTAAACAGCAGCAGCCAATGCAAACTAATACATTCCTAAAATCCTAGGACCTAAAAGAAATTAAATGAGACTTAACAGGAATTAGACTGAGTTAAGAATTGTCATCACATTTGATCAATGTAATATGTATTCTCTGCACTAATAATAAATTCTGTTAACATTTATTAGGCCTAGGTTCTTTAAAAAGCTGTCCCAAGAAATGCCTACTTGTTCTACCATATATACCCCTGCCATTAAATGTAAGCAGAGGAAAACACAGAGCCATGCTATCACCCTTTAAATTAATGTCTACCTAAATTAGGTGAGTCCTTAAAATTGCCTGGCAGTCACATTCTAGATGCCTGTTTCGTATCTTCTTTCAATCCTCCAATATAATTCTCTCCATGAGGACCTTGCTAAGCATTCCACTGAGAAAATACAAGGAGCCAGAAGAGAACTCCAACAAACTCTCACCACCACACCTTCCTGCAACTGAACTCCATGCACATCATCTGATCTGCTATTGTGAATGAACTAGGTCCCAGTGAAGACCAATCTCTCGCCTATTGCTCTACACACAAATTCTCTCTCTTAAGTTATGTTTTCCTCTCTCCTGAATCATTGTCAGTATTTGAACTTGCTATCTCAAAAACATTCTAACAGTTTATATCTCAAATGTCCTTTTGATCCCACACTCTTCTATTTATTTGCTTGTTAGAGCAGTTTCTTGAAAGAACTGTCTATACTGGTTGTCACCAGTTCTAGTTCTTTTCTCTTTTATTTTCTCTTAATCCACTCCCATCAAGTATTCCCTCACCCATCTACCAAAACTGTTTTGACCAGGTCATTGCCCCTTGTTAAATCCTATGGTCATAGTCCAGTCCTTATCTTACCTGGCCCAATCAGCAGCATTTGCCACAGTTCATTATTCCTTCCAGGAAATACTTTCTTCAGCTGTCTTCTAGGATATCTCACTGGCTGCTCCTTCTCAGCCTCTTCTACCAGTTCCTCCTCATTTTTCCCATCTCCAAAATGTTGGAAAGCTCTAGAACTCAGTCCGTAAACTCCTTCCTTCTCTAATTACGTTCATTAAGTGTTCTTAATTAAACTCATAGTTTTAAATACTTTGTGACATCCAAATTTTTATCTCCTGGACCTCTTCTCTCAGCTCCAGCATTGTCTATCCAGCTTCCCTTTCAGCAATTCCATTTGGAAATCTACAGGCTTCTCAAATATAACATATCCAAGTTAAAGCTCCCTATTTTCCTTCCCAAACCTGCTTTTCCGAAGAAATCTCCTTATCAGTAAATGGAAATTCCATTCTACCAGTTTTCAGGCCAAAAGCTGTAGAATTAAACTTTGACTCCTTTCTTTCCTACTCAGCACCTAACCCATCAGAAAATCATGTAGGCTCTATTTTCAAAACATATCATTAATCCAATCACTTCTCATCTCCTCTACTGCTACCTTCCCACACCAAACCACCACCATTTCTCATCTAGATAATTGTAACAGTCTCTTCTCTCTGCCTTTGCCTCAATGTAATCTAGTTTCAAACAGGGAGTCTGAGTGCTCCTTTAAAACATTCATCAGCATCACTCATAAGCTCAAAACCTCTAATGACTTATTCCAGCATGAATGCCAAGGCCCTTAGAGTAGCCTTTAAAATCTGGACACATCATTAACTCTCTCCCCACCCCCTATAGTTACAGGTTTTACTGTGTGTTTTTTTGTTTTGTTTTTTAGAGAGGGAGGAAAGGAACGAGAAAGAGAGAGAAACATGGAAACATCAATGCGAGAGACCCATGGATCGGTGGCCTCCCCTTGTACCATGAGAGGGATAGACCCTGCAACATAGGCATGTGCCCAGACTGGGAACTGAACCCACAACCTTCTGGTATACGGGAGAAAACTCCAATCAACCGAGCTACACTTGCCAGGGTTATCATTAACTCTTTAACCTCAACTCTTTTCCTCCCTGGCTTACTCTATTTTAGTCACCCTACCGCCATAAACACAGCAGCAGACTCCAGCCTCAGGACAATTGCTCTTGTGATGCCCTCTTCCTGGAATACTAGTCTCCCAGAAAAATGAGCCGCTCACTCCCACACTTCCTCAACTCATCCTATCTAGACTCCCACACTTCAATCCTCTTTCCCTTTATTTTTTTCATCGTTAATATCAGCTGACATACAATGTATTTAAGCTTATTTTTCTTACTGTCTGCCTCTCCAACTACAAAGCAAACCTCTCAAAGGCTAGAATTTGAAGGTTTTGTGCACTGCTTAATTCTTGGTGCCTAGAACAATGACTAGTACACATTATGTGTTTTATAAACATTTGCTGAGTAAGTGAATCCACACCAAGTGGATAAATTATTTGGATTTCTTTATTTTAAAAATTAAAGCTTCTTGAAAGATTATTTAGAAGAAATTCTCCTTCTAAGTTTATTAGGTTTTGTTTGGTAAAAAAGCAGGGGATATTCCTAGGGTTTTCATCAGTTTTCTCTATTTCAAAAGCAATGCTCATTATCTCCTAATCTTATTTCTCTTCCTTTCTAGGGAACTCAAGTTACTCTAGCACTGAAGAGGGGGAGTAAGTGGCCAGGCAGATTCACAGTCCAAAACTGAGTTCTGCTTATACCACTGGTTTCAAGAGGAACCCAAGTTAGGAATAACTCTCACAGGTCAGGGGCCGGCAGCTTCAGTTCTCTAAGGACAAGGCTACATGTCATTTCACATCCAAACTAAGTGTAGCTACTGTGGCAGAGTCTCAGCACACACTAGAGAGTAAAGGGGTAAGGAAAACAAAGAGAAAGATGGTGACACACACTTACAGATTCAGAAAAAGTGGGACTTATGTCTCACTAATGGAAACTGGAAAGAGACAAAGAGAGAAGTCTGGTACCTCCGGAAGTGAAAAAAGCGGCAAGCCACAGTGGAATCATCTTGCTCCTGTTCCTTAAACTTCCGATACCGCTCCAGGCGGCACTCACGACACTTGTGCAGGTGAGGGGCTACATTGATGCACGACCCGTCCTGCAGGAAGGGCTCTCCGGACTGCTTCAGCTTCTTCACCTTGCTTACATCTTTCAGGACTGACTGGCCAACTGTGTCAAGGGAGAAAGAAGAAATGGTTGGTTGTGACAGGTATAAGTGTGCCCATCAAGTTCATCCTTGACAGAAAGGGAGCAGAGGGAACAAAAAGGCTTCACTTTGGGGCTAAAGACCGTGGAGAATTTGAAGGAAGTACCTCATTATAGTAAAAAACTCTGGTCATGAAGGAGGAAAACTCAAGAAGGCAGAAGGTAGAAGGTAGCCACCACCTGTCTCTGGCCGTTAGGGATAGACTATTTCTAATCAAGGAGTCTCTAATTGAGCTCCATATGGGATACCAATTCCTAATAACAACAGCCACTTTTACTACCAGACTTTTTTTTTTTTTTTTATCATCAGCTCTTACACTTCTGGACAATAACTTAATACCACAGAATATAATGGCTTTTGGCAATGACATAAAACCTTACATATATGTGTCAGAGAGAAGCAAAGTGAGGGGTGAGTAGAGAGAATGGGCCAAAGGAGAGCAGAAAAGGATGAGAAAAATACAAAGAGTTCCCGAACAAAGAGACTCCTAAGGAAGGTCAAGGACTTCCTCTGTGGAACTATGGTTATACTAACAGATACCCTCTTACAGTGCTGATTTACATGCAATCCTGCCCTGAAGCAGGTCTAGTGAAGGGCCTTTGTTAGGCCCTTGGCTATGTAATTTTGAGATTATAAACTTTCCATCAAAGCGAGGGCCTCTGCTACCCAAGAGCACAACAGGCATTCCAGGCTAGTGCCAAGCCAAGCCGCTATATAGCCCCAGCAGGATCACCTTTCAGGGGTGCAGTCCGAGGCCGGCCCTTCGGGGCCTGCTTCCCTTTGCCTTTGCCCAGCAACAGTTCAGCATTGCGTTCCCCATTGGGGCCCAGCTTCCCCATCAGGTGCTCTGGAATACCCTTCAGGCCAGTTTTGGCCTGCAGCTGCTCCTCAGAGTCGCTCAAATCTGACAGGTCACTGTTGGTGCTGGAGTCCGAGTCCTGTCTGGAAGCCAAGCTTCGCTCATCCAGTGAGAACCTTTTCACAGCTTCAAAAGGAGCTTTGTTCTCCTGTGAAAAATCTGCTGGGGAGGACAGAAAGCTGCCTGAGTGCCTGCCAAAGACGTTACTAAAGGTTTTGAGGAGGGGATTGTCCTGCTGCCCAGGCCCCACAGTTGGCCTCTCCTCTGTGGGGCTGGAGGAGAGAGTAGGCATCTCAATGGGCTGGGTGAGGCTGCTGGTGGGTGAGCTGGAGCGGCCATTTCCCATAGCGGAGAGGCTTGGACCCCCAGGGGTAAGAGCTGAGCCGAGAACACCCGACACCAGTTTGGAGGAGTCAGTTGTGATGAAGAGGGTTTTCTTCTTTGCTAAAGATGCTGACTCTGAAGAGGAGTGAGACTCGGGCCAGTTGGGTGCTGCCTTGGAGGTGACAGTGGTAGCAGAGGAAGAGCTACCTGATGCCTGAGATGCAAAGCCACTGAAAGGGCTTTGTTCGACTTTCTCCACAAACGCCAAGAAAGGGTTCGAGGGCTCTTCCCGGGACAGTTTAGGGGGCTGTAAAAATAGATTTTCATGACTCTCTGGGGTGCGGGCATTGAGGAGGCTCCGTGGGAAGGCTGGTGTGAGGGTGGGCATGGACTCTGTAGGCACTTTCTGGTCCACAGAGCTGCCAGCCTTAGAGCTTGATTTAGTGTCTGCTCCAAGAGTGGATCTGCCTTTACACAGGCTCTCAAGGCTTTGTTTGAATGAGTCTCGACTGGAGGAATCATCAGCCAAACTCTCTGAAACGGTACTGAAGTAGTTACTGGTTGGTAAAGTTTGGGGCATGCATTGAAAAAACAAGTTTTTGGAGAGATCAGAGTCTTTTTGAGACTCTGGTGCAGAGCTACTGCCAAAAGAGAAGCCCAAAGGTTTGTTCTCCGTGGCTAGAACCCCATTAGACTGGCTCCTTCCACTTCCAAACGTCAAAGGTTGTGATAAACTTGGGAGAGACGCTCCAAATCCAGAAGAGGCCAGAACAGAATTTCTTGAATTCTGAAAAGAAGAAAGCCTGAGTTAGTGATGTTGACTTTTCTTGACAACCTTATGATCTCTTTCTTGGACATAGGCCAATATTTATGAGTCAGTCAATCAACTTTTCTTTCCTACAATTCCATGAAACCTACTCTTATAACTAGATTTCATCAGCATTAGGGAAGAAACCTGCCGCAGACCACACAGAGAGAATCTTTAGCAAGGTAAGCTATAGATAGCAAGATGTTAATTATCCTTCTACTCCCTTGGTTGTCATAGCACTAGAAGCCTGTGTAGGCTTTTTGGTATCTATTTTGAAACAATGACTCTACCAGGGAATTGGTGAAAAGGCTTCTTAAACATTCATCAGCTTTTACTTTAAAACATACCAAGTGATCATGTAATATTAATCTACCTCAATTAGAGGCTATTGTTAAAATTTTAATTTAAGCTATTACAAATTTTTCATCTTACAAAAGTGACTTCAGCTCCATACCACGCCCATTGTACATTAAAGAAAAGTTTTAGAAATTGGCCATTTATCTATGGGTTCAATTCAACCTGAAAGTTAACATTGTTTAAATTAAAGTTAAACCTAAAGATAACTAAATTAAAAAGAGCATACTGATTACTGAAAACTTGTGTTATCATTAGGCTAACAAGTCTCCAACCAAGAAAAAGTAAAAGATATTGATATGCCCACTAAACAAAAGCATTCAGCATAACAAATTGGACAATAAAGAATGCATGTACATAAAGTAGGATCACTTTCATATGTATTACACATCCATTTACCTTAACAGAAATATCCATATGTAGGTATGAGCACTTATATAATACTTTTTAATTGAATAAAACCCAGATCCTAGCACTTGACTAACAAATCACAGGTAGTAGATAATGATAACCCTAAACATTCACTTTAAAACACTGGAAATAAATTATTCCATGACTGCTTAATAACTATGATGCTTCCTTTTGGGGTAATGAAAATTTCTGGAATTAGTCAGTGGCTGTGGCTGCACAGCATGGTGGAAGCACTAAATGCCACAGTACTGTTTACTTTAAATTATTAAAATGGTAAATTTTGTTATATGTTACTTTATCACAAATTTTTAAATGTTCCAGATAGAAAAGGGCTCTGTTAAAAAAAAAAAATAAATAAAAATAAAAAAAAATATATATATATATATATATGAGAGAGAGAGAGGGAAAAGAAAATAAAAGAAAAAAGATGGAGTTTCAATTTACTTAAAGTATTCTTTAAATATTCAAGAGGAGTCTACATTAGGACTTTCCTTGAGGGTAGCACATAGGCAAGAGAACCAGGTAGGTTTGCCTCCCTTTGACATTTGCTATAGAGACAGTTTCAGGGCATTTTAGGATTCATAATTCTGTTTTCTTTTCTTTTCCACAAACCAACAACTGTTGACTTAAACCCCATCAACTAAAAAGAAAAGAATAGACAGACATAGCACTGAGGCTTGCAGTTGCTTCACCAGCAGGATTTGGCCAGGAGCCTTGACACCTGCATGACTGCAAGGAACCAGCCTGGGTAGCTCAGGTTTCACTACTAAAGTTACCCTTTAAAAATAAATACACACATGAATGAAGAACAATGTGGATGGTCTTATTTTCCTTCAAGTGATTAAATTCCAAATCCTTTTCTTATACTAAAGTGATGATAAGATGATTTCAACTCAATTTTAAGGGCAAGACATTTCTTTGGATAGGGTTGTGTCCCTATTTTAGATCCAGTATCATAATGGAAACGTCCTTTTCTGCATTTTAAAATCCTAGCCCGAGGAGAATACCTAGGCTGACACCTTAGCAAAATTACTGCTGCGGTCACAGAAATTTCTCCAACTTGTTTAGAATCCACACTTCATCCAGTAAGCTTTGCTACTCTTCTAAGAACAGCATTCTGTGGAGCTCTTCTAGTACATGTAAAATTTGATCTATTTTTTAATTCCCCATTTTTGTCTACACTGCCTTTGACATGGAATTCATTTTAATTAATTTGAGCAATATGATGACATACAATCTAGAAATCCACATAAAGACCCTCACCTAGTTCTCTTGGAAATGCTGGTCAATTTAATAGAGGACAAACCATGAACAGTGTAAAATTTGCATTTACAGTCTGCCTGGACATTTCACCTCCTTCTTCATTCCTGCACACTAGGGATTAACAAATTGCATTTTCTAGGGAGAGGAAGAAATCAGATGAAATGTTTGCCATGTTTTAACTGGCATTTGTTATACCTAAAATGATTCCATTTTAGGATGTGAGCTCCTTCAAACAGGGATTTCAATTCTTTGTTTATAATATATGGTACTTAGCACACAGTAGTTTTCTATACATACTTTAAAAAGATTATTTAGTATCTTAGTATTTCATACTCCAGCTTGAAAAAATATGACTAGCATCATAAATCATACTTTGGTGACCAAAATAAGAGTCCGAAGATTGTGAGAACTGTTTTTTATACTGCTTCAAATTTGATTTGGGAGCCAACTTAATGTTAATTTATATTTTTAAAAAGTCCCATTTTGTAAGACAATAGTAGCCCTGGCCAGTGTAGCTCAGTTGGTTGGAGTGTCATCCTGTGCAGCAAAGTCTCAGATTTGATGGTCAGTCAGGGCGTATACCCGGATTTCAGGCTTGGTCCCTGTTTGGGGATGGCATGTAAGGGAGGCAACCGATCAATGTTTCTCTCTCACATGGATGTTTCTCCCTCTCTCCCTCTCCTTCTTCTCTTTAGAATCAATGAAAAAACATATCCTTGCCCTGGCTGGTTTTGCTCAGTGGATAGAATGTCGGCCTGAGGACTGAAAGGTCCTGGGTTCGATTCCAGTCAAGGGTACATGCCTGGGTTGCAGGCTCAAACCCCAATAGGGGGCATGCAGGAGGCAACTGATCAATGATTCTCTCATCATCATCAATGTTTCTATCTCTCTCCTTGTCTCCTTTCCTCTCTGAAATCAATAAAAAATATATATTAAAAAAGAAAAAGAAAAAACATATCCTAGGGTGAGGATTTAAAAGAAAAAGTAAACTGGATATTATAATTAATTCCATCAAATTTTCCAGGTTAGACTTTAAAAAATTAAGCCAGGCCCTGTTGGTTGGAGCATCATCCTGATATGCCAAGTTTATGGGTTTGATCTCCAGTCAGCGCACATGCAAAAATCAACCAATGAACAAAGAGAACAACAAATCAATGTTCTCTCTCTCTCTCTCAAATCAATAAATAATAAAAAATTAAGTAAAAGATTAAGTTTAGAAAAGAAAATTTTATGGCTATATCTAATCATGGGAAAGAAGCTCATTTTCAAGGGAAAATATAAAAAATGATAAACTGAAAACATGGGTTGGTAACAGTGGCTTCCACATAGCCTTAATTATAGTGCCACTATTACCAACACCGTAATTTGTTAACCTTGCCTCTCACAGGCCTGGTGGCAGCTCACCCACTATGTGAACTAAAAAGATAATTGAATTAAAAAAATCTATCATAATATATCATTAAATCAGGTTACATAATCAATTTTGATTAGCTTAGTTGTTCAGGTGACTTTTAAGAGCTAATAAAATTATTAAAATATACACATTTGTCTATTAAGCAATAAAGGTCCACCCTTTATGTGTTTAATTTAAGCACATCTTAGATATACTTCTTCCAACTAGCATTTGAGATGCCTTTTAATGTGTTACCAAGAAAGCAAGAGTGAAAGGATGAAACCAAATCTTGCAAATCTGCCCCTGAAACAACTCACCTCTCCTGGGACCTGCGACCAGCTGCCTTTCTGCTTTTCCGGCCCAGTCCCTGCTGCAAGGCCAGTGTCTGAGATCCTCACCGTGGTTGGGGTAGAGCTGGCGGTAGTGACCACAGCTGCTGAAGCCACCAGGCCCTGACCAGCTTGTTCCAGTGTTTTTCCTGCCTCTTTGCTTTCAGCTCCACCTGCCTCTGGGGCCAAAGGTGTCTGCCCTGTGGCTGGAGGATACGGAGTAAAAGATGCAGTCGTGTCCCCGCCTACAGGCTCATCCTGCACCACCAGAGTCCTGCCGTTTTCTTTGGTGTAAGTGGCAAAGCGAATGTTTCGGTTAATCTGGGGGACAAATGTAGTCGGTGGTGGCTTGGTTCTTTGATCCAGCCCTGGCTCTCCACTGGCATTCCCTCCTTTCCAGGACCCTCGGCTCGCCTCACCTCCATCGCTCCCATTACTGTCTACTTCTCCCCTGTCTCCTTTTAATTTCTTTGATGCAGAGTCACACCCAGAGTCCGAAGCACTTTTTCTCCTCCGGCCATCTTTCCCCTCTATGCTCTCTCTCTTCTTCTTGCCTTTGGAAGACTTTACTGCTTTTAACGTACCCCCCTACAAAACAAAATTCAAAGAAAATTTATTACAAGGGACTTTCCATCTTGTGAAAACCATAAATCATTAGCTCTTTCCCATCTCTAAGTTCCAATGCCAGCTCTAAAACATTGCCCGGGTCAAAAAGCTCCCATCTTCCTGTGACTCAATTCACACACACACGTACAAGATAATGGTCACTAGAGATTAACTCACTCGGCAAACCTTCTCTTAAATAAAATGCAGTATTTCCTCAAATGAAGGAAGGTTTTAAAAATCTGTGGAGTTTCTTTTACAAAATAGACTGCCAAAGCTAGCCTGGGAGCTCATTTGCCCCCTAATGAAAAAAAAAATCGGCTTTATTCCATATTTAATTCCTTGTTTGACAGAAACTGGCATTTCAAATATTGAAATATAAAATCTCCTCCTCCAGAAGCCTCTAAAAAACTGGTGACAACCGACATTTGTGAGTTTGTGACTAAAGGAAAAGTGAGACCAACAGAGGCAGGTTTGGATTACTCTTACAGACTTTAAAAAGATGCAATCTCCAGATCTTATTTCAAAGCATTAGACAGAGGAAAGGAAAAAAGGCATGCTACCATAGACTAAACAGTCAAATCTCTTAGCTCTTTCAATAATTTCAGCCTAGCTCATGAACTCTTACTGTGCTTTACTTGAGAGGCCGGATAACCTTAAAAGATACAGGTTAGAAGGGGCAATTCCTATCTTCTTCTCTGAGAAGGACAAAGGGAAGGGGGCTTGGGACACAGCTAACATTCTTTCAAGCAATCTTTGTGCAGCAAAGACTAGTATATGAAATATTCTTAGATTGGTATCCCACCAAGAAGCAGGTATTCATTTTAGCTTTATTCAGATAACTTTGAGATTGTTTAATTCAGTGATAACATTGATAGGTGGCAATAAGCCAGTATCATAGTTATTCAGCTATTAGTATTACCTAACAATAAATCTACTTATTGCCATTGAATATTTATATTCTTTGTGCAAATCTGTATTTTTTTTTTTGTAATCATTATTATAGGTGTTGTAACTTTTTCAAATTTTATATTGCTTTACAGTTCTAGTTCTTTATTTTTCTTCCTCCTTCCCTCCCCTCATCTCCCTTTCTCCCTCCTTCCCTCCCTCCTTCTTTCCCTTTCCTGCCTTCAATTCCATCTTGTCTTCTTTAATTTCTTAACCAAATTTTTAACCAAAACCCAAGATTTCTTTCTGTTTCACCTATACTTCTGGTAATATTAATCTAAGTTTCTAAATCTTTCATTTAAGAACTGTTACTGTTTTCTAGAAATCGTTTTCATTGGTCCTTTTAAGACTTGTTTAGCCCTTCTTCAACCTCTATCACCACCCAGTTTTCATTGTTGTAGACTACAGAAGTATGATCAGCGACCTTTCTCCTTTCTTGCTCACTCACTCAAGAGATGAGATGGATCTCCAAGGATGATTACTGTAAAATGTGGCAGAACTGTCAATAATAATTATTCTTTGCTAGCTAAGAAGATAGTCACATCATGCTGAACAGAATCAACATCTATTGCCAAAAACCACAGATTGATCTTACCTCTGATTCATCTAGGCTCACAGCAATATCCCTGAGCAACAATTTTTATGTATGTCCTACTTATAGTGAGCTGCTACTCACATGAAACCAGTACTCTCCAGCTACATTTCTAGCCAACTGAATAGTACCTGGCAAATAATAATCGAATAAATGAAATAAGGAAGGGAATAAAAAAGGGGCCCAAAATACCATAAAAGTAATAAGTGTTTTCAACCATGTAAACAAAGAGACTTCTCCTATTTGTGGCAATATTATATGTAGTTATTAAATTTAACCCTATTTTTTCTTTTCCTACCCTCATCTTGTTTTATGAAGTAAAAAATGACTGAATAGCCGAAATGGGTTTGGCTCAGTGGATAGAGCGTTGGTCTTCGGACTGAAGGGTCCCAGGTTCAACTCCCGTCAAGGGCATGTACCTTGGTTGTGGGCACATCCCCCAGTGCAGGGTGTGCAGAAAGCAGCTGACTGATGTTTCTCTCTCATCGATGTTTCTAACTCTCTCTCTCTCTCTTCCTTCCTCTCTGTAAAAAATCAATAAAATATATTTTAAAAAATGACTGAATAAAGAAGATGAGAAAGAACTATACTTAGCATGAGTGGCCAAAACAGCAATATTATAAAAGTGATAAGAGACGATGAGGAATATGGGGACAGATGGCCATCCTAGTCAACGTTCTACTGAAGGAAAATCATACAGAATTCCTTGATTGGTTCAGGCACTGATTTACAATGTATATTTTTTGGACTATGATAATTTTGAATGAACCAAGAGTTGGTCTAGTTCATAGTAATAATAGAGTAATCCACTGTGTGCTGAGCACTGAACTAGATACCTGCTTTATTTGACCTTCTTGGGATAAGGAAAATCAGACTCTTTTGGAGCTCAATACCACCTAATGGAAAGAAAGAGAATGTAACTTCTCTTCCATTTCTTATTATTGGGTAGATCATGAATAGTACTGCTGCTTATTATAGTTCTAACTGTCCACTGTATCTTTCAAATATACCTGTCCTGGAAGAATATAAGAAGAAATAGTTAGGCTATGGAGTTCAATACAGCTGGGCAACATAGCCATGATTAAAAGAGTTTGCTAGATTAGGTCTTTTCTTGAGACTATTCTTTCTTAACTAGACAAGACCATGAAAAAAAAGAATAAGAAAAAGAAATGTACAGTGGCCAGAGCTGAAGTCCAAAGGGTATTCATAGATAATACACATATAAGAAATCTACTTAATAACATAATGCAAGGTCATGAGTCTACTCAGAGACTCAGTCCATTACTGTACCTCGTTCTGAGACGTTGAATTATCTGTCAGCATCACATGAATCAGTCTGGGATCTACAGACTTGATCTCACCAGTCTATAGTAGGAGCAGGATAACAGATAATATGAAAAAGGGGGGAAAAGATTTAATACATTGTCCACCAAGGACACAATTATTTATTTTTCTAATCTATGTAATTATCTTTGCATTTCTATTCCCATAGTACCATGTTTCCCTGAAAAGAAGACATCCTCTGAAAATAAGACCCAGTGCATGGAAAGATAAGACATCCCCTGAAAATAAGACCTAGCGCAACTTTGAGAGAAAAAATTAATATAAGACACTGTCTTATTTTCAGGAAAACAGGATAGAATAAAAACTCTACCAGAGCAGGGATCTTTACTATCTTACTACTAGATAGCAACTGAAACAAAGTCAGGACTATGATAAGCTTTAAGAATTTGGGTCTCTTTCAGGGATGTTAATTTCAAATTCTGCATCTCTAAAACCTTCATATGCTGTATATTACAGAAACCAAAAACCTTCAGAACCAATTATCATTCAAAGCACTACTCTACTATTAAAGAATAAAAGCTTTTGGAAAGGGCCAATTTGACATTGTCAGATTTAATGTGCATATACTTTGACCTAGCAATTCCACAGCTGGGAATTTATCCCAATAAATAATGTGAAACAGTGTACATTGATATATATTTAAGGATATTCATGTGGCATTTCATGTATTATTGAAAATACTGGCAATGATTTAAATGTCCATTATTTTTAGATTAAGTTAGTCATAACATCCATCCAGTTGAATAATATGTATCTATTCTAAAAGAACAAGGCAGATTTCTATTTATTTGCACAGAAAGATGTTAATTTACAATTAAATACACAAAAGTAAATTATAGAAGAATATATAATATATACCAAACAGTTAATGGTGGTTTCTATTGTGGGTAGTGATATTTGCCTAGGGGAGGGAATAGCTTTTCATATCTATTCTATATATGAATATTGCTTAAAATTCTAAAATGAAAATTTAATAATTTTTTAAAAACTCAAAAATATAAATAAAATAATTATGCTTCTATTACACGTGACTGCCAAGACCAAGTCTGAAACCAATTCAAAGGTATGTAAATACAAATCTGTTTGCTTCAAAACACTCATCTAATTTTTTCTGAGACAATTTTCCGGGTTGCTCTAGATGCCATGCTTTTCTGTTTCCTTCATTAGAAACAACTTTCCAATATCTAAGGGAGAGTAGCGTAAGTATTATAAAACCAAATGCTAATAAGATTTTTAACTACTAACCTTTATGATAAAATTATAATAGCATTTCACATTTGTATATTGTTTTACAGATTTCAAAGCATTTTCAAATTCATTATCTCACTTCCCAACAGTGCTATGAGATCAATGTGGAAGGAAGGGGTTGAGAACAACATTTAAGTTGAACAGCTTTTCTTCTCAAGGTCAGTCATTAAGCACTAGAGCCACATATGGAACCCAAGTCTTCTTCCTCAGGATGCTCCCTTTTGCTTCACCTGTAAGATGAAATAACACATAACACAAAGCCTTACCTCAGTTATAGACACATCCATAAGACGAGTAATGGAATCTTGATGGTGTACAATACCATAGAGCCAACTTTGTTCCCTTTCGGGCTGATATACTTTGACCCTGTGACCTTGAACACTGTAGAGACCTAATGGAGAGATGAGTCAGTATAAAATATTTTTGGCTATGCTATCTTTCATAATTGTTTTTAAAAGCAGGAGAACTATTTGGTGCAGATATATGGCACTGTTAGTCTTCTTGTATGGAGTTGAATGAGCAATCTCAGACTTACCATACTCATCAATTTAAAAATAAAACATAGCCCTAGCCTGTTTGGTTCACTGGATAGAGCACCGGCCTGCAGAATAAAGGGTCCCAGGCTCAGTTCTGGTCAAGGGCACATACTTGGGTTACAGGCTCCTCCCCTGGTTGGTGCAGTAGGAGGCAACTAATTGATGTGCTTCTCTCATATCAATGTTTCTCTCTGTCTTTTCCTTCTCTCTTCCACTTTCCCTAAAAATCAATGGAAAAATATCCTCGAGTGAGGATTAACAAAAACAAACAAACAAAAATAAAAGTTTCCCCAGTGACCTTTATAAATTTAGTTTATTTAGAAAATTTCTTAGAATCCCCCAGGTCTCTGATTTCACCTTATCTCAATCTCCCCATTCTAAAATATAAGGAAGAGAAAGGAAACTTATAAATAAAAAACTACAGGTAGTATGAAAATGTATTCAGATTGGTTTGGCTCAGTGGATAGAGCGACGGCCTGTAGACTGAAGGGTCCCAGGCTCGATTTCAGTCAAGGGCATGTACCTTGGTTGTGGGCACATCCCTAGGCGGGGAGTGCAGGAGGAAACGGATCAATGTTTCTCTCTCATTGATGTTTCTAAACTCTCTATCCCTCTCCCTTCCTCTCTGTAAAAAATCAATAAAAAATATTTTTAAAAAAGAAAATATATTCAGATCTGACACATTAAAAAAAAGTTGGAGGCCAATAAGTTGAATGTACTATTTTTGTTAAGTGACCATATGAATAATATATAACCATTTATTCTCTGCTATCTGGTTTTCAATAACAGTAGGTAGAGTTTTCAATTTATGAGGTTACCAACCTCTACCCTAATAATAGTCAACAAATATAGCACCTGTCTTCTAGGAACACAGTTTCAAACATATTACTTTATCAGCTGGTAATATTATCCTGCTGGCCTGCAAATAAGGACTGTTTCTCTCTCTTGCATATCTTATACATTTGAGACTATAATATATAGTTAAATCACTACTTATTTTAAATGATCTTTGAGCTATAATTAAGCTTCCTTAATTTTTCTATACATTCTCATGTACACCTCCATCTCTTATTCTATTCATTTGATTTTCTTCTATGCTATCAATTTTTCCATACATTCTTTCTTCCACATACCTTTCCTTGATTATTAAACACCAGAGGCACAGTCCACGAAATTCGTGCACAGGGAGGGGTGTTTCCCTCAGCCCAGCCTGCACTCTCTCCAATCTGGGACCCCTCAAGGGATGTCCTACTACCCCGTTAGGCCCAATCCTGGTGGAATCAGGCCTAAAGGGTCAGGTCAGATCCCTCTCACAATCCAGGATTGCTGGCCTCCAATGGCTCACCGCCTGCCTGTCTGATTTACCTAACTGCTTCTGCCTGCCAGCCTGATCGACGCCTAACTACTCCCCTACCAGCCCAAGTGTCCCTAACTGCCCTCCTCTGTTGGCCTGGTTATCCCTAACTGCCCTCCCCTGCCAACCTGGTCCCCCTAACTGCCTTCCCTTACAGGTATGGTCCCTCCCAACTGCCCACCCCTCTGGCCTGATCACCCACAACTGCCCTCCTCTGCTGGCCATCTTGTGGTGGAGACGGGGGCAGCCATCTTGTGTGTTGGAGTGAGTCAATTTGCATATTACTCTTATTAGATAGGATTATTAACTAGAGGCCTGGTGCACCAGATTCGTTGTCCTGGGAGGGGGAGGGCCCTCAGCCCGGACTGCACCGTCACAGTCCAGGAGCCCTTAGGGGATGTCCGAATGCCGGCCAAGGTCTCAGCCGGCAGTTGGGACATTCTTAGCACTCCTGTGGAGAGGAGGGAGACTCCCGCCACTGTCACTGTGCTGTCAGCCTAGAGCCCAGCTTCTGGCTGAGCAGTGCTCCCCCTGTGGGAGCTCACTGACCACCAGGGGGCAGCTCCTGAGTCTGCCCCCTAGTGGTCAGTGTGTTTCATAGTGACCAGTTGTTCCACTGTTCAGTCGATTTGCATATTAGGGTTTTATTATATAGGATTTCAGTGGGGAAGGGAGAAAAGGAGAGAGATAAAAACATCAATGTTGAGAGAGAATTACTGATTGGCCACATCCTCTCCACCCCCAACCTGTGTGCCCCACACTGGGTTCGAGCCCACAACCCCTGATTTTTAAAAATAACATGCTGTTAATGCGTTGCAGGTAGTTTCAAGAGCAGAGCAAGGATGATGGGCAGGTATAGAAGGTCATAAGGGAGGAAAGCCACAAGTGTCTAGCAATAGACAATCAACTATAGGGTAGGACCTCACCCCCAGGGTGACTTTTCCTCCCCATGCACACTGCTGGCCACAGGTGACTCCGTTATCTTTCCTCCCTAGAGATAACATCTATGCCTCAGTTATATTTTAGTTCCAGGTCCAGATAAGCAACAAAACTAGCCACTGCTAACACCAGGCCCCACTGCACTGAATAAGGACCTCTTGCCCTGGTGTTGACCAAACAATCAGTGTAGACCAGAACCCTAAAGGACAGGGTTTCCAAACAGTGCCTGGAAAACTGCTTAATATTCTATTAAGATCTTTTCCTGAGATCTCCCTTAAAATCTCTACCCTAAAAGCCCTTTGGACTCCCTTCCGGGAGCACACCCTTGCCTTTCCCTTCTCCCACCCCAACCTTGCCCAAGGCATCTTACCATTAGCTACTTCACTCCAAGCTCCAAGGGCCTTTCCTTTATCTCTATAATTATTTTCTAAAACCATTTCTTCTAGGAATTACTTTTTACTTCTGTGATTTACAAAATAAGTGTTCTCTTACAGTTTTGGTCTTTATTCTGAATTCTTTCCTAGCTAGAACCCAACTATACCCAGGTTTGGTCTGACCTTGCTGATCTGACACATCGTGCCATTCCTGCCACCTATAACAAATGGAAATGAGTGTGTGGACATCTTCCTTTATGAATATATCTTGCACTCTAAGTTGTTATTTGTTGGTTTAGTCCTTGAGATCCTTACAGACAGTAAGCTCAAGAAGAGCAGAGATATTCTCTAGGTCATGGTTATATCCTCACTATCTTAACACTGTGTCTACTACAAGATTAATCCTTAATAATAATATTTAAGAAATGGAGAAAGCCTGGCCAGTGTGGCTCAATGGTTGACCTATGAACCAGGAGGTCACAGTTAGATCTGGTTAGACACATGCCAGGATTGTGGACTTCATTCCCTACAGGGGACGTGCAGAACATGGTTGATTCTCTCTCATCAATGAAGTTTCACACTCTCTCTCCCCCTCTCTCTGAAACTAATAAAAACATATTTAAAAAACACATACAAAGGAAATGAAGAAACAACAAAACTCACATAACAACGAGACTATGAATTACAGTCCTGGCCAGTGACCATACACTTGATTCAGAGTTCAGGAACAGAAAACTACCTGTTCTTACCTCGGCTAAATATCTCTTGTAGCTTTTGGTCACTGATCAAAGCATTAACTGTTTCTCTCAGTGCAGCATGTTCCAAAAGAATCTGGTTTTGGCTCTCTGTTCCCATCTGGTAAAGATAAGAGAAGAAAACAATTGAATATTAAAATAAATAGCAGTAACTAACCAGATGAGAAAAATCATAATACCCATGAGGGTATGACTTATCAAAGAATATTCTATAGAACCCTAGTCTCATGAAATCTCTATAAAAAATAAGGATGTTAAGATCAATTAAGTTTGGCTGAGACCGGTTTGGCTCAATGGATAGAGCGTCGGCTTGGGGACTGAAGGGTCCTGGGTTCAATTCCGGTCAAGGGCATGTACCTTGGTTGCGGGCATATCCCCAGTAGGGGGTGTGCAAGAGGCAGCTGATCGATGACTCTTTCTCATCGATGTTTCTAACTCTCTATCTCTCTTCCTTCCACTCTGTACAAAATCAATAAAATATATTTAAAAAAAAAAAAAAAAAAAGATCAATTGAGTTTGGAAATATTATATATCTTTCTACATATAACAGTATATTAAAAGCTCTAAGGAGGCATATAGGAAAAGAATCTGTATGTCAGTATTTCTCATACTCATATGACCACAAAACATTTTATTGCATATAAATCTTTTTCCTTATTTCGATATTTGTCCAACGTTTACCAAGAACCTACCCATATAAGCAATAATATTAAAAGATGGAAAAAGCAAGGCTGATAAGAGAGTGAAGCCTTAATGAGGGAAAAAAGAACATATCAACAAAGAAATCATTATTAATATGTCACAAAATATAGTTTAGAAAAGACTTCTCTTAGCTGCCTCAATAAGACAGCAAAATTCTTCTAAGCCTCCTAATTTTTATTTTTTAATGTAAATTTGTAACTGTGTAAAGTATTACATATGTCTCTACCCCCCTTCTGTCTGTGTCCTCTGGTTATGCTTATATGCATGCATACAAGTCCTTTGGTTGATCTCTTCCCCCTACCCTTTACCCCACCCTCTCCTGCCTTCCCTCAATACTTCTGTGTCCCTGGATCTATTTTAGTTCATCAGTTTATGCTGGTCATTATAAGGCCTCCTAATTTATAATCTTAAGACAGTACCCCTTACTAATGAGAAATAAATATTAGCATCATAAATTCTGAAACTCTTACTCAGATGCTAGTTTGTTTAAACGACTAACTTATCCCTTTTCTTTGTAACTAAAGATATACTTAAGCTCTTCAATATTTAATGCTGCTCAGAATCAGCTTCCATGCCACTGGCACAAGTGTAGACCACTTCTGGGAAGCTGCCTCTTCTGAGAAAGCCAGTAGAATTGTGGTCTTAAATGTTAAGTGATTTAAGTGTAGAGTGGAGTTGTGTAGAAGAAGCTTCAAGTTACCAAGTGTACTTTTTAAGGGAGCAGAAAAACACTAAAAGGCACAGGGAATTATTGAGAGGAAGTATTTTATTTCAATGCTAAAAGAAAAAATGGAAATACCATATTTATAACCAATGAAGAAATCAACAAGGAGAGAAATAAATAAGCTTAGGACTAGAGCAAGTGTTAAGTACCTGGAACAGATGCAACCCATTAGTATCTGACAGGAAACGAAGCTCTCCATCCAGAAGATATTCAACTGGAACCACAGAACCCAAACCGAGTTTATCTACTAAGGGAGTGAAAGTCTGTGAAGTACAATGACAAGAAATTTATTAGAACTTAGAAAAGAAAATAATAATTGAACCAAATCTCTAACTTTAGAGAAAATATCCATTATTAATAAATTTTTCACAACAGTAAATACAGATACGCTAGAGCATAAGTCCTTGGAAACATTCCTAACCCAGTATCTGGCCCTCAAATAATCATGTTCTATGGAACCCTAGTCTAGGAAGCAAACTAGAGCAGAAAGTCAGCTTGATACTCTTTACAGCAAAAAAGGAAAAGGAGAATGAGAAATTCCTCATTTTCTCCAGGGATCTGACTAATCTTAAAGCCTGGCTTCAAGAAGGCTAGTTTAACATTAAATTCCCAGAATAAAGAGTTACACCATTATAATCTCTAGAACTCCTGAAATCTTTGTGAGATTTCTAAAATAATTACTGGTATAAATATACATGAGCAAATTCATATTACTGTTTCATAAATAAATAGCCTACAAAGTCACCAAGGAACCCATATCTGTTTGAGCTTCTTCTAAAAGTTCAATTGGCCCTAGCTGGTTTGGCTCAGTAGATAGAAAGATGGCTTGTGGACTGAAGGGTCCCAGGTTCGATTCCAGGCAAAGACAAAATGAATCCCAGTCAGGGCACATGCCCGGGGTTGCCAGCTAGATCCCCAGGAGGGATGTGTAGGAGGCAGTAGATAGATTATGTTCTTCCTCATTAATGTTTCTATCTATCTCTCTCCCTTCCTCTCTCTCTCTAAAAATCAATAAAAACATTTATTTATTATGTTACTCTCTGTAAAAAATCAATAAAACTTATTATGTTACTCTCTGTATTTATTTATTATTTAATATTTATTATTATTAATATTATTATATATTATATATTATATAATTATATATTATATTATATTATATATAGTATAAGTATATATTGTATATAAATAAATAATAATATTTATTATTATTAATATTATTATTTAATATTTATTATGTTACTCTCTGTAAAAAAATCAATAAAATATATTTTAAAAAATAGTAGAAAATCCTGCCATTTGCAACAACATGGATGAAACCCGAGGGCATTAGGCTAAATTAAATAAACCAGAGAGAGAAAGACAAATACAGGCAATCCTCAGGTTACGTTGGACTTGACTGACGTTGTTTCATGGTTACGTCGCCATCTCCCATTTACAGTATTTATAAAAAAAGAAAAAAACTCCACCATTTTGACATATGTATATATGTGCTTTATGTTTTTGGTTTTTTTAAAATATATTTTATTAATTTTTTACAGAGAGGAAGGGAGAGAGATAGAGAGCTAGAAACGTTGATGAGAGAGAAACATTGGCCTCTTGCACACCCCCTACCAGGGATGTGCCCACAACTAACGTACATGCCCCTGACCGAAATCGAACCTGGGACCTTTCAGTCCGCAGACCGATGCTCTACCACTGAGCAAACCGGTTTCGGCTGTGCTTTACGTTTTTTATTATTTATTTACCACAAGTAAAGGTCAGGAATTACTATTTTTCTTTTAAAATTATTTTACTCTTTCACTTCATTACTGCTGTGTATGTGTTCCATGTTGAGTGACGTAGGTCCTTATGTAGGTTGGTTCCGACTTACAGCGAAAATTGAGTTACGTAGGAACGGATCTCCAACATAACCCGAGACTGCCTGTACTGTATGATCTCACTTATGCAAAACCTTTTAAAAAAACTGAACTCATAGATACAGAAAGTAAACTGGTGGTTGCCAGAACTGGGGTGGGGTGGGGTGGAAGACATGGGTAAAGGTGATCAAAGGATACAAACTTCAGTTATAGGATGAGTCAGTTCTGGGAATCTAATATAAGCAAGGTAATTATAACAATACTGTATTGTATACTTTAGAGTTTCAAAGAGAATAAATCTTAAAATTCTTACCACACACACAAAAGTAACAACATGAGTCAATGTACATGTTAACTAACATTGTGGTAATCTTTTCAAAATATACTTTTATATCAAATCATGTTGTACACTTATACAATGTTAAATGTCAAGTACATATCAACAAAGCTGGGGGAAAGTTTCTATGGAAAGAGTATACTTTAAGGATTACATTGTTTCATAGCCTTACTAGGAGAAAAAACAAGAGGTAAAAACTTGAGAAACAAAAAACATAAAATATTATGTAATATACAAATTTTCAGAGAACAGGAGAAAAGATCTCTCCCAATTTTTGCTTTGCTAACTTCAGAATAAAAGTGTGTTAAGAACAAAGCTTGGAGTTTGGGGAATTCAAGAGTTCAACCATAGTTCATAGTATAAGAATAAAGTCCAAATATATTTCTAGCCAACAAAGTAACTCACCAGGGCTGGCCAGTGCGTAATTGAGACTCGAGTGCCCTGGATAAGGACAGGATCCTTCCGGGGTACCCATACTAGGGAGCCTTCCAGCAGAAGAACAATAACTTCTTCAGCATGAACTTTAACCCAGGAGTGCTGCTTCCAGTTACAGCCATCAAATTCTACAAAGATCTGCAAAAAGAGATAAGAGCAGTTTGGAAAAATCCCACATTATTACATATAAACAAATATAAACCCCATTTTGAACACTGACTAGGAAAAATTCTACTAACTTGTTTTTATTTTTTTTTACTTTAAAAAAATATATATTTTATTGATTTTTCACAGAGAGAAAAGGGAGAGGGATAGAGAGTTAGAAACATCAATGAGAGAGAAATACCGACCAGCTGCCTCCTGCACACTGCCCGCTGGGGATGTGCCCGCAACCAATGTACATGCCCTTGACCGGAATCGGACCTTTCAGTCCAGAGGCCGACGCTCTATCCACTGAGCCAAAGTGGTTTCAGCAACCATGAACTTAATTAATTTTTGAACAGGTGACATATGCACATGATGCAAAATTCAAAAGGATAAACACGGGGAGGGGTTTGCCCTCCTAGTTCTGGATGGAGGACAATGTCAGAATACCTACAACAGTGACTCCCAACTGGGAACCATGGAATTACCAGGAAGATCATAAGTATTAAGGACACAAAGCATTTCCTGCAGACTGAACTCTAGATGTCTGTACATGCATGCATTATTATTTTTTAAACATGATTATGTAATGAATAAACTTCAAAGCCATTACAATTGTTACTGAGTTCAAAGCAGCTTTTGTTGATATATATATGTTGCCATCCAGTCAACATAAAAATTAGTTACAACTATATACAAATTCAGGATACTTATATTTAAAGAGTATGGAACCATTCATTGCTCAGTAGTCAAGCAAGGTTTAATTTTTCTCACATGCAAATGAAGAGCATTACTGAAAAGTTATCCCAGATATTAAATTATGTAAAGCTTTAGTCTTATAACTTGTAATATACCACATAAGCATCACTTCTACTTAAAAAAATAATAAGCCCTAACTGGTATTGCTCAATGGTTAGAGCATCTGCTGGCACACTGAAGAGTCAGGGGTTGGATTCCTGGTCAAGGGCACATATCTGGGTTGCAGATTCACTCCTGCCCCTGGTTTTATGGGAGGTAACCAGTTGATGTGTTTCTCTCACATTGTTGTCTCCTCCCACTTCTGCCCTTTCCCTTTCTCTAAAAAGCAATGGAAAAATATCCGCATGTGAGGATTAACAAAAATATAAAAAATAAAAACCATGATGGGGAAACAAGGCTTAGAAAGGGAGCATGATTTTTACAAAGAACACTGAACTGCACTATATTTAATATATGAATATATTTAATATAACATATACATATATATGTTCTAAGGGACTAAAACAATTTAAGTAGCTTGTAGGCAACTAGAAAAGTTGTATTTAAGTGCAGACTCAGGCACCAAGAAAGGTAGTTAGCACAGTGAACAAAGCTTGGGACTTATGTTCCAGGAGGCTTGGATTTGAGTCTTGCCTCCACCCTATATTAATTGCAAAACCTGGGCAGGTCACATTTCCCTCCCAAAGTCTTAGTTTCCTCCCTTGTGATAAGGCACACCTGTATTACCTGATATACTGGTTGTGAAAATTAAATAAGTGGATTCAAAAGCAGTTTGGTTAATGGTAAAGCATAACTTCAGACAATATGCTATAAGGTAAACAGAAATAAAATAAAATACAATACAACGTGGGGATGTTCAGAGGCAGGAGAGATCACTTCAGGAGTGCAGAAGCCAAAAAAGTCCCAGCAAGTTCTAGGAGGCCAGGAGCTACTGCACACTGAGGGGAAGGAGAGGGAGCTGAGGCTAAAAAGACTGAGAGCCAATGGGAAAGATCTTGAGTAATGGGATAAAAAAAAAAAAAAAACTGGGCTTCATTCAGCTGCCAAAAGGAGATGTGTATGTGTTTAAGTGTGTTTATGGCAAGTGCCATTAAAAGAGGTCAAATTGAGGTAAAGATATGAACAGAGCATTTGGTTACAGGAAAACTCAGCTAGCTAGCAGTATGTGTAGATGGATTAGAGGGAAGGGGGAATAAGGAGTGTTTTTTCTTTTTATAAAAAATTTTTGCTCTGACTGGTTTGGCTCAGTGGATAAGAGTGGGTCAGCCTGTGGACTCAAGGGTCCCAGGTTCAATTCCGATCCACGGCATGTACCTTGGTTGCAGGCACATCCCCAGTAGATGGTGTGCAGGAGGCAGCTGATCGATGTTTCTCTCAATGATGTTTCTAACTCTCCCTTCTTCTCTATGAAAAATCGATTAAAAAAAAATTTTATTGTTTGTTTTTTTTTATAGAGAGGAAGGGAGAAAGATAGAAAGTTAGAAACATCAATGAAAGAGAAACATTAATCAGCTGCCTCCTGCACACCCCCTACTGCAACCAAGGTTATTCTTATTCTTTGTACATAACAACTTAAATATTTAAAAAAATTAATATTCATGCCCAGCTGGCATGGCTCAGTGGCTGAGGGTCGACTTATGGGCCAGGAGGTCACTGTTCGATTCCCGGTCAGGGCACATCCCTGGGTTGCAAGCTCAATTCCCAATATGGGGAGTGTGTAGAAGGCAACCAATCAGTGATTCTCTCTCCTCATTGATGTTTCTATTTCTCTGTCTCCCTTTCTCTCTGAATCAATTAAAAATATTTAAATAAATAACATTCAGGAATCCTATCATCACATAACTGAAAACATGAAGGAAAAGCAGAAATTTCTGAAAGCCAGATTTCACCTAATTTAAGGGCAATTTTCTCTTAACCTGTCTGGGCAAAGGATATGGAACAAAGTGTTTAACTTGACAACCATCACAGTACTGTTTGCTCTGGGATCAAACAACAGTTCCCGGCTAATAATGACTTTGTTTTGAGAGTAATATGGAATGTGGACATACGTAAACATGTTTTCCCAACAGTGAGGCTCACTTCTGGTCCTAGAACTGTGCCTCACCTCCAGCTAGATTAATGGAAAGAGTTAAAACATGTAAGGTAAGGAATCATATCAGATCAAAGTACATAGAATGCAAACTGGTAAAATGGCTGTGACCAGGCCCCACAACAGGAAGAAGGGATATAAACTAACAAAAATCAATGGTAGTGATTGGATTGAGTCAGAGGTGGTCAAGGAAAGTTGATAATCTGAACAGAACAGGACTAACACAGTTTGAGTTGATTTTTAAAGTCTTAAGTCCCGGCTTGGTTGGGGTCATCCCATGCACTGAAAGGTTAGATTCTCGGTCAGGGTACATGCCTGGGTTGTCAGCTTGACCCCCAGAAGGAGGAGTGCAGGAGGCAGCTCAATGTTTCTCACAACTCTCTCTCTCCCACTCCCTTCCTCTCTCTCTAAAAATCAATTTAAAAAATGTTTTTCAAGTTTTAAATTTTTTTCTATTAAGAGTATAAGTAGTATATAGCACTTCATGCTATAGCTAGAACCCTAGGATGAGATGTAAAATATTTCATTAGTTAAGGAGAGCTAGTGATAAAACTTGCTTTCATCTCAAAATTCCTTTCATGGCCTATATGTGATTCACATTCATTTCAGTGACATTAAACTCAAATGAATTCTTGAAAGTATTTTTTAATAATTAATTTCAGAAAGAAAGGGAGAGGGAGAGAGGTAGAAACATCAATGATGAGAAACACTGATCACCTGCCTCCTTGCCTCCTTTTAATTATTTTTAACATGCCAATCAGAGCCATTTACAGCTTATTTAGTAGTACTCTCTTCCTCAGTGGATAGAGTCCTGGGTTCAATTCCAGTCAAGGGCACATGCCCGAGTTTTGGGCTCAGTCCCCAGAAGGGGGCATGCAAGAAGCAGTTGATCAGTGATTCTCTCTCTTCCTCTCCCTCTTTGAAATCAATAAAATACATTAAAAAATTAATAAACGCCTAAAAATATATTTAAAAATTTAAATTTAAAAAAGAAAAATGAACAAGTTACAGATTATTAGGAAGGGAGAGGGGTGGTTGGGCACAGGAAGAGGATTGGCATAGCAGAGCTTGAATGGAGGGGAGAAATAAAAGTCATCTACTAAGATGGGCTCCTAGTGGCTAACTGGGCTCAAATTAAAAATAAACAAACAAGCCAAAACCGGTTTGGCTCAGTGGATAGAGCATCGGCCTGAAGACTGAAAGGTCCCAGGTTCGATTCCGGCCAAGGGCATGTACCTTGGTTGCAAGGCAGCTGATCGATGATTCTCTCTCATTGCTGTTTCTAACTCTCTATCCCTCTCTCTTCCTCTCTGTAAAAAATAAAATAAAATAAATCAATTATATATATATATATATATATATATATATATATATATATATTTTTTTTTTTTTTTTTTAAGTAAATTTCCATGGGTTCTTAATCAAGAGGTAGCTTTCTGAGAGTGCATTTTCACTACAGTACATTTAGAGAAGAGAGAGAGCTTTCTACCAATTATCCCCAATTTTTTTCTACTTTCTAACATTCTCAATAAATTAAATGTTAAGTACTTGAATAGCACGGGGATGACCTGAATCAAACTTCAAGCATATATAGTACTTTTAGGGGCTGTGTATGGAATCATAAAGTTCTAGATTTGCATCCCAACTTCCCCATTTCTTAGCATGTATCCAGGTGTCACTTTAGCCTTTTTGAGTCTCACTTCCTTTCCTAAAAATAGGGACAGTTTAAGTACCTCAAAGGATTGTCATGGGATTAAATTAAAGCACAAAACGCCTAGCAGACCATGGGTTTCTAATAAGCATAGATTCCTTAAGCAAACTCATTAATACTGGTCAGATTATAACCTGTTCTGACAAAAAATTTTAAAAATTAAAAAAAATTGCTATTGCTATAACAAGAATCTTAAATATATATATATGTTTCCATAATACCACTCTTGGCATCAATCCTAGGAAATAACTCTAAACATATGAAAAACTTTATTCACAAAAATGTTCATCACAGAATTGTTGATTAAGCCTAGAATCTGCAACAATTTCAATATCCAATGAGGAGGGAACAATTAAATAAATTACTCAGCCAATAAAAATTGTAAGATTTTGCTGCCCTAATCGGTTTGGCTCAGTGGATAAAGTGTTGGCCTGC